CCCGGCCACACCTTGACCGCCTCATCTCACCGAGTATCCCTGACCGCATTGTCGGTGTAGCGCATCCAAATTCGGATAGAATGTGAAGCATTTGTCCGGTCGTTCAACCAACTCACACACTGTGTCTTATGTCATTGTCATAATTGATCAGGCTCTTGTAACTTACTTTTGCAGGAGGCTGTGATAAAATAGGCGCCACGGATTCGTGTAGACTGCCTTCACTACCTAGACTAGACTGTTTTGTCGAGAATCAACAGAAAGACTTACATTCTCTATGCGAAGCACATAGTACAGAGTTATTACTAGACAATCGAGGCAGAAGTTGACCGCCGTTAGATCCTAGAGGGCGCTACATGTCTACGACACATTCGAAGGATAAAAGAAGCCAGATTCCATGTGACAAAGAGAAGCTGCGGTGAAGCGCTCATACTCCTAGAGTACAAGAGGGGCTTGACTCGGCTCTCGGCAATACTAAGCTTCTCTCTCCATGAGGCAACCCACGACAAAAATTAAATGACCTTGTTGAAATGTTCTTATGAGTCTGGTATGCCTTCAAAAAGAGCGTCCAGTATTGGCCCCAATGCGATTGCGTGCGAAATGCAGAAACAACGTATTTTGGAGGTCACTCATTCGCGGCTTTCGGTGCCGGCAATCGGTATCTATCTCAAAGCCGACAGCCGGGGACTGTCTCTTACACGCTGTTTAGCCTCTAAGAAGTGCACATATTCAGATTGTGTCGCGTGACTGTAAAGGCTCTAATAAGTCTCTACAGCTGTGGCTAGTTTCAAGAACTGCTTCTCGACGCTCGAGCACAATTGAGCGTTCAGTCCCGTTCGCAAAAGTCTCAGAGATCCAAGTTCATCTAGGCCCACTGGGTGCCGACAGCCGCCCCTTGTGCCGGAGTGGTGTTGTGTGGATGGTTCTCCAAATGACGGTGGTCTCTTCACCGTTATGTTGGCATAACCCATGGACAAGGGACAGTTTTGCAGGAGACTCACTTTTGCCTGCTAAAGTCAAGATATTCCGAGCTCAGCCTATCGTTGAATTTGTTGTGTCAGCTTGAGTGGAATCGCTGCATGGCTTTTACGTCTCACAGACTCCCAAGGTCTCTTAGGGTATTTGTGGCGTTGGGTGTTCTAGAAACAAAGTTCCTCGCCCTAACATCCCACCGGAGAGATTTTCGGGGAGCTACGTTGGCAAGTTGGCAGTACCTTAGAAGGGTAGCACACCCCACTGATTAATGCCCAGCAATGATGGATCGGGGTTGCTCAGCTCCGATACCAAGGAACTAATGTCACCTCCCAAGGCTCCCAAGGTCAGAGACACCCCCCGAAAGGGCCCGGTTACGGCTATGACTTGTGCCAGGAACGTACATGGAATGGAGTGTAGGTATTGTCGCCTGAGAGGGACCGTTGCCGGGGATTGAGGATTGAGGAGTGAGAACAAGTGTGGTGCCGAGAGACACATGCACAGTTCACAGTTCGGTCACGGAGCGCCTCCCAGAGCCAATCTCCTCCGTCTCCTTCTCTCTTCCCACGCATTCCCCGTCCTCCGTATCCCCCAACTGACTGCCAGTCCTCACACTCTGCCCTACCTTACGTCAAGTGAGCTGGGACAGTCACGCACAGTGTGATTGTTCCCCGGATTTCTCCTGCATAATTACCTAGGCATAGCTCGGAACGAATACAGTAGCTAAGTAGACACGCTGCCGGCTGCGCGCACGCATTCAAAGAGAGAGACCCACGCCGATTGTTCTCCGGAATGGGCAACCCATGAGCCCTAGACTGAGCCTCATCTGTCTCTCCATGTCTATTGTACGCGCCGCCGAGTTCCGGTGAGCAACGAGGGCGCGCGCCTATCGAGGTAATTGGGAGAATGGCAGACCTGTACGGTAGCAACACCATCGGCAACAGCAGCGTCAACAATAACAACAACGACAACCTTGGACATCACCTCCGACCCGACAGACCACCGACAGCCGCTGCCACCACCACCGCCGCCGCCTCAACGACGGCAAACATAACCGCAGACCTGGCCGCCGCCGCAGCTACCACCGTGACAGCATCAGCCGCAGCCTCGTCCGTGTCTCCGAAACCGACAAAGCGGTCCTCGGCGACGACATGTGTCACCTGCCGGGCCCGTAAGGTCCGCTGCGACGGCCGACGCGACATTTGCAGCAACTGCGAACGCCTCGGTTTCTCTTGTACTTACGAAGACCCATCTTCTGATGCTAATGGTGTTGCTGCCGCTCCCACCTTTCCCTTACCAAGACGCCGTGTCCGACAAGCATGCCAGAGCTGTCACTCACGTAAAGCTCGGTGTAGTGGTCACACACCGGCTTGTGACCGATGTCGTACCCAAGGCATCGAGTGCGTCTACAGAGCTTCCAAGCGCACCCGGTTGAGCATCAATCCCCCAGGTCTCGTCGACCAAATAGTCAGATCACCGACTTCGTCGAACTCGGCACTCGCTACCAATCGTGACGCTCGAAACCGTCGGTCATTGTCCAGGGATGATGTGGCACACGATTCCGATGCCGCCATGGCCGATGCTATGGCGTCCAACACCCCCAGCACCTTTAATCATGATCTGTAGGCTCACTCTTACTGTCCTTACTCACCCTCGTGCCTCATCCACTGACTGAATTCAGCTCGGCACCTGATCCTCAGTTCGAGTCTCTGATAAGTCGAGCTCTGGACAATTTCTTTCGCCATGTTCATCACATTCCCATGTTGTCCTTCCTTCACCGGGCCTCTCTCATGCAGCGGCATAATGTTGGCGGTCTAGACCGGCCGCTGCTGTTGGCTCTCATTGGCATCACGAGCATGCTCACTGACCTTGGGCCGGGAACGCGAGAGTATGGCGAGAAATGTATTGATGAGTCTGAGGGACTCATTTTGAAGGGCCTCGAGAATGCGTCAACGATCAAAGTGCAAACACTTGCTCTCATAATCAAGTATCGGATCTTGACACGACGCTTCTCGAGCGCTTTTATGCTTGCTGCTACCGCGGCCAGATTCGCTACGGCTCTTCGACTCAACTACGACAACCCAGATTTGTGCTTCCTCGCCCAGGAATCAAGACGCCGTCTAATGTGGGCATTATTCATGATTGACCAAGGCATGGCTGGAGGATACCGCGATCTGACCCTGTGGACGCCCGAGACGATTCACATTTCACTTCCTTGCAACGAGAGAGACTTCGAGTTCGATCTTGCGCCGCCATCGTTACGACCGCTGGTCCCTAGTCCCGATGAGTCCGAGAATGACGATATTGGCAGCTTAGCATTACACGTCCGCATTCTCTGGCTCCGCGGCAGAATCCTCAAGTTCGCCAAGCGAGCCTCAAATTGTTCCAACGACGACCTTGGCCGCCTTCAGGAGCAACTCCAGTCGTTTGCAAAGGAGCTCTCGGACTTTGCTGAGCGCTTGCCTGTGTCGTTCCGCTGGTCTGACAACAGCCTGCGGTTGAGAGCATATTCTCCACGCCTTTGCGTCTTCATCATGATTCATGTCTGGTTGCGGCAGTGCAACTGTGATCTCTTCAGGATAGGACTTGTTGGGCTTCGCGATTCTTTGACTAGATCAGCTGCTGAACGGCTGGGGCCCGAATTCATCGCTGGTTGTCAGCGCCAGTGCTACGAGCATGCGATGGAAATGTCAAATATGTTCACCTCCATCAGAGCGCTGGACCACTACCCCGTTGCGGACCTCGATATGCCGGTGTGCGCGTATCAGTGTATCCGTATGCTTTATTACATCTACCATTTGAACGCGGAAGAGTACGGTCTCACGCCAGAGATCCTTCGTAAAAAGGCTTCGGTTTGTCTCGAGGTGACCAAGGGCTGTTGCTCTGGAACAGCTGCAGTCTCGATTGTTAGTAACACTGGCGCTTTTGTCTCATCAAGGAGTTTACTGATCAGTGATAACAGCAAGCCGATCTTCAACGACTCATGGACCACGGTCTCTCGATACAGGCTACCCCTAGTCGGCTGCTTAGTGAAGAGCCCCAGGACGAGAGAAATGGCAACGGTGCCAAGCGCATCCGCCTTGCTCGCGCGAAGCAGGTGCAGTTGGCGGACGATCCAGATAGAGGCGCGCCGGCGGCCGACGAGCTCACCAATCGCCCATTTGGCATTGGTGCTTGGGAAGATATACAGGTTCCCGAATCCAACAAGCCAGACGAGCAGGCGCCTGTGCCATCACAACCCACTGCGCTCGGCTCACTGGAGGTCAATAATGCATTCGAGGGAGCACTTGACAGTCTTGATTTCAACATGGAACCCATGGGGTTGGATTCCTTGGCATGGTTCTCAAATGAGTGGGCACAAGGCGATTTCCAAGGCGAGTTCTAGTGCCGGAGAGGTACACGGGGATGTACACCGGAATCCATGGGCCCTGGAGCAAACTCTAAAGAGATATTTGATGCATACGATTGGTCATTGTATAAACACTTCAAGCTTTATCGACTATATTGGCCAAACCTCCTTTGACCTGAACCCTGAAATCAGACGTTGACCCATCTTATCCCGCCGGCGTGTGGACCATTTCCTCACCGTCCGAGGAGGTCGGGTTATTAACTTATCAACAAGCTTGAAGCTTTCCGGGTGTACGGCAACACTCTTGGTATCTCCGCGAGCCAGACTTGTCCAGTGGCGGCTAACGGTCCAAGCATTTGCAACGTTGCCACAGCTTGGTTCAAAGTGAGAATGGTCGGTATGGTTCAGCATGCATTTGAGATAGTACATTGCAGGAACCATTTACAGTCCTAGAAACTTAGGTAGTAGGTGCTGGTTATTGAAGGTGGCTTTTTTAATGAGACGATGTGACCATTAATACCGCGTGGCTTGAAAATCCTGGGACATGAGCTTGCGAGCATTGAGGAATGAATGAGCTCGAGAATATTGAGTTACAACTGAAAGCAAGTGCAAACGCTAGATACCCTGCCGTGACAATCTAAGAAGCTTCAAGGCCACATTTCCAGCCAAAGAGTTGCGTAATTCACCGCCTCTTGATGTTGATGTCGAGTGCCAGAGGCTTCCTCAGGAATCCCTCGTTGGTCTCCATAATCTCTTGTCTCAGCTCAACTTTGTACCTCCTAGCCCATGTCGCGACGATGAGCTTCATCTCCATCTCGGCCACGTTCCTTCCGACGCATGCCCTGGGTCCGGTGCTGAACGGGATGAAAGCATTTTTCTGCCTCGCCGTAAGCGATTCCCATCTCTCGGGGCGGAAATCGTCAGCGTCCGGTCCCCAAATCTCCTTGGAGTGGTGCATGGTGTACGAAGGAACGCTGAGAACGGTGCCGGGAGGGAAGAAGTGGCCGCGAATGGTGACGCCGGGTGAGTTTTCGGGGATTTGGCGTGGTAGACCGATGCCAGAGGTGGAGTGGAAGCGGAGCGTCTCGTCAATGACCATGGCGAGGTAGGGGAGATCCTTGATCATCTCGTAGGTCGGGACATCGACGGTGGGGGCGATGGCCTCGTCGAGTTCCTTTTGCAGCCTCTCCAATACGCCAGGGGTTCTAGCAGCGTGGTACAGAAGCGCGCAAGAAGAGTTGGAAGTCGTGTCGCTGCCGGCAATCAGCTGCGTCAAGGCCTCGGCAGTAAGCTCCTCTCTGCCCAGAGGCTCTCCCTTGTCGTCACGTCCCTCCATCAGTCGCGCAAGTAGATCTAGTCTGTCGATATCGGGAGGGTTGTCCAGTCTAGCCTTGACACGCGCGATAGCCATGCCCGCTAGATTCTGCACGGCCTCCAAGCCTTGGCTGAAGAAGGGATCCGGAATGTACTTTGCCCAGGGCTTCAGGTCGGGGAGAATTCCCAGAGTGGCAGAAACCTCGCCTCTCCGGTTCAGAATTTCAATGGCGGGTGCGTATATGGGCGGGCTGTTGGGGGATTCGCGAACCTCGGCGATATCAGCACCGGATGCAAGCATGCCAAACGGCGCACCGAAGGCCAAATCGCCAATAATGTCAAATGCCAGGTAGTTGAACCATTTCAAGCAGTCAATGGTGGCGCCAGCTGGGTTGTTCTTGGCGAGCTCATCCCACTTTTGGACGAAGAGGACCAGGTTCTCGTGCATATAAGGCTCGAATTGGCCAATTGACTTGACGGAAAAGGTGTGCGACACAATCTTGCGCTTGCGTGAGTGCTCATGACGGTCTCTGGTGTTGAAGAGTCCTCTCCGAATGGAGACAAAGGCGTCGTAAAAGTCTCTGGTGCGGGGTCAGTATGTCTCGAGTCAAAAATTGAACGGTCTTGGCTCTGGCGACTAGAGCTTGAAGCCCACCACCAAAGGACAGCGCATAGCCCATTTTTGAGTGAGCGAGAACACTTACGACTTGAGAAAGCCGTTGCCGTGACCATAGATGGCCTGAATGGCCTCATCGTCGGCAATGCTCACATGGTTGGGCTGGATGCGAACCACGGGCCCCATCTTCTTGTGGATTTCATCGACGGTTTGGTATCGCGTGCCACGCCGGACAACGGAGAGAAGCCACAGATTGGTGAATTGTGCGGGGAACGGTGCCGGAATTCCACGAAGGGAGCCGAATGTGACGAAGAAAGGGTAAAGGTAGTAGACAACTACGCCTACGACCACCAGGGCCGGTGCCCAAGGCGTGATGAGAAGCTCTAGGATGGCCATAGTCAAGCTTTTCTCGTCATGAATGAAGCTGGTCCACCTTTCCAAGATTCGGACAAGGGAGGTCGAGAGGAGTTGATATCTGAGTAAAAAGGGTCCCAATGGACTTCAACAAGACTTTAGAGTTCCACGGGAATAATCAAAAAGTTGTCGACATGTGGACGCCGGGGGCCCTTCTTGTACTTGTTCTCTCGTGAGTGTGGGTGTGGGTGTGGGTGTGAGAGAGAGAGTATCCGTTCCAAGGTGCTAAGGTTAGTTACGTTTCCCAAAACACAAGCAGCAGCCATTTAAAAAAAGATGATAACAAACCGAGACACCCGTGACGCTACGCTATGCGTTAAGCTTTCTTTGGGACCCTGTCCTGGTGGATATCGCGGGGCGCGGAGAACCGACACGCCTCTTCCCCCGTCCAAATCCTTTGGCTAAGACCAGACGACGCCCCCCTTGACACAGCCATCCCGCAACGAGAGCCCTAATCCCCCCCGCGAGTCCCCGCACGGCACTGAGTACGGCAATCACGGTCGAGACGGCAGTCAAAGTCGGGATCGCGAGTCGGGGCTCTGACACGGGGGATGCCCATCCTTTCCGGTCAAACGCCCCGCTGGCATAACCCACAGGTGGATGTGCTCGGCCTCACAAAACGGCTTGGCCGCACGTCATACGCCTCCGAGATTTGCGTTGCCTCGGGTTTAAACACGGAGCTCTGTTCATCGCGAGCCATACCGAGGCTTGCAAAAGAAGACGTGGTTGAGTAAAAAAAATACTGTCTAAATTGTACAACCACTCCCTATATACGATGTATGTGTGCCAGAACAAGGTCCTTGTCCAAGGTGCCTTTACCATCCGGCCCTATGGGATTTTCCAATGTCCACCAAACGCCAGAATGAATGCAACATACATGTAAACTTTAAGTGTATGGCCAAATGATGAGAGAATGAAGGAAGTATGAGTACAGCAAAACGCTACCTGAATGCCAGCCGTCCTCTCGTGCTTCTACCGTAGCTTACGTCGAGGTCCTTTGTATGAATAGTGACAAAAATGGCCAGAAAAAACAAAACCGCTCATCTAAGCATATACGATAAATCTGGCAGCTCACGCACAAATTGTTGCACAAAATCATAACCCTCGGTGCTCGTCTTGGGCGGTTGCGCCGTGGACGGCGTCTGGAAGCCCGTTGTGCGTGGGGTTTCAGCAGGCCCTCCCGCAGATACGCCGGTAATACCAGACAGCAATGGGTCCGGCGGGTCGTTGAGGTTGGCTGCGATGGATATATTTGCTGGTCGCTTAACCGTAGACGCCGGTCTGAATGTGTATGTATTCGCAGATGCTGGCGGGCTGAGAGGGCCGTCTTGGCTTTGGGGTATACTTGCTGCCGCAGACATTGTGGAGGCGGGGGTGGGGCTGCTGATGACATTGCCAATATCCCACAGTCCTGATTTGTTACGGGAATCATTTTCTTTGTTATTCCCGGTGCGGAGTGCATCGGCTCCCGGGTGACTGCTAGTCAGGAAGGCATCGGGAGGCGGCATGCTCGTGACTTCGGCTAGTGGGTTGGTCGAGAATGAATCCCAGCTAGTCTTGGGAAGGGAAGTGGAATCCGTTGCTTCAGCCGTCGTTGGAGAAACCATGTCTCCCCATTCATCGTCATCCGCATCTACACCCGCATCCGCACCCTCAATCTCCTTTAAGCTCGTAGCGCTGAGTGCTGGTGGAGGTGTCGGCGCGGTCGGCTTGATGAACGCCGGGAGGGACGCATGTGACTTTGGCGCGTTGTCAAACCCAGTGAAGGCCAGAGGTAGTGGTATACCCGTAGCCTGAGGCTTTTGCATCGCCGTTCCCGATGGTGGTTTTATATCCCCAGGCCCGCTGCTCCAGCCAAACGTCGCCAGACCCTCCCAATTGTCGTTGCTTTGTCCCATGGCTGGCGTGCTCCCCGTAGAGCCAGGGAGAATAGGAGCTGCCGATAGCGAGGGCAGGCCGCTTATTGAATGTGTTGGACGGTGGATGGACGCTTTCCGCTTTGCCTTACGGCCGAATACTCTGTCGAGATCGACCGGAGATGCTGCTGTAGTCGCGTCCCAGCCGAAGCTTTTGCCGCCCGCATTTCGTGCCAGTCCTCCTCGGAAAGGTCGTCCTCCGAACGAATCTTCCTCTATCCAACGACGAACAGTTTTCAACGTTTCTTGCCGGAGAGTGGAATTCGTCCAGTTGATTCGGACATAATTGTCGTCGTCTCCCGCATTGTGCTTGCGCAAAGACTCATGGCGGGACAATCGATACCACATCTTGCGCTCGGAGATGCTCACGAAGCTGTCGTGTATGACTCGATCCGGTACATCTTCGGGTGAAACTGATTCATGCAAGGAGACGTCTAGCAGGAGAGCTTCAAGGTGTTGAAGGTCAACCTTGAAGGGCTCGTGTTCTGGGCGTGTTGGCTTGTCAATCTTGATGGTCTCCTCTTCAACTTTGCTCCCTTTATCCAGTGATTCCTTTGCGGTCGGCTCCAGCGTGTCGCGAGATTCCATTTGCTCCTGATCCTCTTCTGCCAGGTAGTCTTCGGTAGTTCTCTGGCAGGGTAAATCTCCTGAGCCAATGTCGGGCCCTCGGCTTACACTACGGCGTAATGAAGGCGCCCTCTCGGGGGAATCTGTGTTTCGCTTGGCAATGCCGTCGTACATCTCAACGAGCTCCAGAACCTTGCCAGAGGCTTTCCTCTGCGTAGGTTTCGGTAACGTATTGTCTTCGATAGAGGTTATAGGGGAGTCAGCGTGCCTCGCGCCTGTCTGTCCGTCGTGTTCGTCATCGTTGTCAGACGAGGCTGAGGCCGAGGCTGATGAATGAGCGACATCGTGATCGTGCTTGGGAGTAGTTGGGAATCGATCGAAAATCGGAGTATCGCTGAACTGTAGGTATTCGTGTGAGGGGTCGGCAAGAGGTTCGGCGAATTGTGTAGTTATTGGCGTATGGGCAATGAATTCCCTTTCAAACGCATTGGGCGTATTCTTTAAGCCCAGACCGATCTGCGCTTGCTCGAGCACAAGCGGCGGGACGTCTGGTATCTGGGGAAGATCGGCCAAGGGTTCGGGGTCGTCTCTTGTATAGGTCGATACGTGGTTCGCCCAGGGGTCAGGTGAAGGCTGGCCGGGGGAAGCGCTGTGAGGGGCGGTGTTGGGAGTAATGGGAGGTCTCAGTCCCGGCGAGGGTGATCGGCTTCGAGGCCACCTGGGTGTGCTGCTCTTCCTTCTAGGCTTGGGCTCATAGCTCGGTGTCAGACCTTCGATTGGCGTGGCATCGTTGCCCCAAGTCCACGGAGATGCATTCGCAGCCTGTCCGGGGTCAGGGGATGCCCAATCGCCAAAGGCATCGTCGTCGAGCCAGGCTGACTGGCTGGAAGGTAGGTTCAGGTTGCTCGGGGTGGAGAGGAAGGCGGGTGGTGGAGGTTCGATGATAGTCTTGGAGGGACTGGTGGAAGGCGCATTTGTATTGTCGGTAGATGATGCCCACGGGGAGCCCCATGGATCGTCCATTGTGCGACACTACAATTCATGGTGCTGAGGAAGTCGATATGAGGAAGTGTGCGGTCTTCCGCAAGTGAGGTTGTTGCGATTGAGGGGCAGACTAGATAGCCATGTTATTGTCTCTTGAATTCGCGAGCCGCGACTCGGTTGGTCGCAGAGCGATTCCCCAAGCTATGCAACAGGAACAGAAGCGAGACTGGAACAAAGAGGGAGTTCCAAAAGCGTGAAGCGGATGGCGTTGTCTCAACGAGTGGACGCGCTAGTGTCAATGAAGAACTCGACAGTAAGGACAAGCTTCGCGAATTGGATTGTTTAAGGTATGGACGGAAAAAAGGGAACGGAGAATTGCGAGATTTGAGATGGGAGATCAGACTGGGAAAGGTAAGGGACGCACTGATTGTTGCAGGCACGGAGATGGAGACCCAGAACCAAGTCCAGAACCAGAAATGGCATGCAGTTGCCAGACGACCTGACCCCGTCGTGGATTCCGGACGTGTCGGAGAGCGTCTGTGCGCGACCAGTAGCCCCTTCAACTTCAACTCACTGCGTGTCTGGGATTGGAGCTTGGCGTTCTACCGGTGGGTCCCACGGTTCCAGCCGCGTCCCTTCCCCTTCCCCTTCGAGTCCATCACCTAAGCACGCTAAGTAAGGTACGGGCTGCACGCACTCCATTCAATGACCCGACGTTTAGCCACACGGAAGTAAGATACTTTATCGATAAGAAAAGGATCACAGATAAGATAACATACCTAAGCACCTACCCAGAGCCACAGCATTCCATTCGCGCCGATTGCGGATGACAGCATGTGAGTGAGTTGAGTGTTGGAGGGGCAGACCAAAAGTCCATGGGATGCCATGGAATTCTTATAGAACACGTCAAACGTTACCAACAGTACCATCCATGATCTACTTACCTAGGTATCTCCAGAGTCGATCAGTTCGGGCATAGGTAGACAAGACTTTTACTCACGGCCAGAGGCAAACTTTCCCCTTCCCTTGGCTTGGTCGTCTTTTTTGTGCTTACCAACCCCGCGGGCTCACACAGTCACACTGCCATTAGGTGGGGAACAAGCATAGCTTGATTTCAAATGATGCCCATTTGACTTGCTCTTCAACCTCACCTTCATCTCTGGTGACATAGGTACCTTACTTACTCGGTGCACTTCGCTTTTCCGACGACTTCTTCTATGCAGCAACTCTCACTCCCATACTTCAAAAGATTCCATTGTCATCAACATGTCGCTTTCTAAAGTGAAGCACATTGTGCTGGTATGACCCCTCATTTTTCTCTCCGTGTAACTGAATGCCGACTGACTGGCCATGCAGGTCTTGTCGGGCAAAGGCGGTGTCGGAAAGTCTTCAGTGACGACGCAACTGGCCCTATCCCTCGCGCTCGCAGGGCATTCTGTGGGTGTACTCGATGTCGACCTTACCGGACCTTCGATCCCTCGCATGCTGTCGATTGAAGCAGAGAAGGTTAAGCAAGCGCCCGGAGGCTGGCTCCCCGTGCCTGTCCATGACGCCGTCGAAGAAAAGGGTATCGGCTCATTCCATGCTATGAGTCTCGGATTCCTTCTGCCCAGACGCGGCGATGCCGTTGTCTGGCGCGGACCCAAAAAGACGGCCATGGTCCGGCAGTTCCTCTCCGACGTCTTGTGGGATGAGACGGACTATCTACTCATTGATACGCCCCCGGGCACCAGCGACGAGCATATTTCCCTTGCCGAGACGCTGCTGCGAGATGCTCGGCCTGGCCAGGTCGCGGGTGCCGTTGTAGTTACGACACCGCAGGCGGTTGCCACGGCAGATGTCAAAAAGGAGCTCAACTTTTGTGTCAAGACCAATATCAAGGTTCTCGGTGTGGTTGAGAACATGAGCGGCTTCGTCTGTCCTCACTGCTCAGAGTGTACCAACATTTTCAGCTCTGGCGGAGGAGCCGTCATGGCCCAGGAGTTCTCGGTACCATTCCTCGGCACCGTACCCATCGATCCTCAGTTTGGCGAACTTGTCGAATCCGGCAGGAGGCCGCAGTACCCTCAGGGGACGCAAATCCACGGTCAGGATATCGGCCAGGCCGAAAAGGAGGGCGAGACAAAGGGCGACACTCTTGTCGAGAAGTACCAGGACTGTTCGCTGTCTCACATCTTTAGCGACATTACTTCCAAACTCACAACAACGGTAGAGGCACAAGCACAAGCACAGTCATAAGCAAAATGAGCCATCTACGGATACAATGTCAACTCAAGGAGTAGACGACAGGCTCAGTCGCTGCACCGTGCCACAAGTCTTTACCCCTGGCGAGATGAAGAGGACGCTCGGCTTGGTGCCCAATTCTAGGCACACAACGTACCAGGGGTTGAGAACAGCCATAAACCCCACGACGGTAATAACTGTGAGGTACAGAAACACTGGGCATGGCGAAGTCAAAGCAGCATGCGAAATTCCAGCTCAACACGCATCTGAGGGATACTAGGGATTTCTAGAGACCGGACAACATACAAAACACCATGCCCGCTCCACGCTGACCGGGCCCGACTCCGCTGTCGTTGACGAAATCCGATGGGCGGCCCAGTCATCGATTCGCAGAAAGGTTGGAAGCACGTGAGGATGCATCGAGATTGGTGGCATCCCGGTGCCTCGGACGGCAAAGCCCCGCAAAAACATGGCGGTACCTGTCAATCAGGTACCTTGCCTAAGCCGCTGTCAAATCCCTGGTACTGCGCAAGAAGCCGCAAGAAGTTGAAGCACGATGACTTTCACCGCATGTCCCACCACTCGTATGTATTTACCGGATATGGTATGAGGAAGAGATGCATTGCCTTTTTCTATCAACTGATCCTTACAATGCGATGCATCGCGATTCGAGCCTATCTATCTCTCAGAATCCTTCACATTTGGTGACTTTGCTGTGCTTACCTTACCTACGTAAGTGTATCCGTACAAGTTACCCCTCCATGACAGGTGGTGTTAATCTTAGGTCCAGGCCTGGGGCTGCGAAAAATGACGTCTGGGTCCCGTTCTTCAGCGACACGTCCCCCCCTGCAGTGTATCTAAGCCACCAATGTCTTTCCCTGTCTGAGCTGTCTCGCAACCTCCAGGATGTCTTTTCCGTCCTTTCCCGGGCATAGCTCTCCACTGGCAAGTGAGTTCAATTGAGTACCTACTACTACCTTACGCGGAGCGATACTTCATATGGTTTGCAGCAGAGTCGAAGGTAGTGGGAAAGGAACAGGTGTTTTTTATCAGCAGGGAGACCTTGGGCATTCCCAAAACGGCTCTCTGCAGCGGACAGTCGGTCAAGAAATACCGCCAAAAAATGTTGCCATCTGAAAAGTGCGCAAATGGAAGTATCCGTGAGACCTGGACTTGGTGAGGGAGGTACTTTAGAGCAAGTACCGTCATGTATGTTTTAGCCAGAATGTCCTCCCAGTTGGCAGTGGCAGCTCCTCGTACCTCACGTAGTAGCTTGGGCTGAAATTTTTGTGTGGAGAGGCCGGGGAGGGGTCGCCCCCATGCCGCCAATTGTCGCTCAATTTGCAGAAACAACTTTTTTTATATATTTTTTATTTTTTTCTTAACCCACCCAGACAACGCTTCCCCTCCACCACGAACCACAACGAGCACATCCACATCCACCACGACGGAATCCCTCCCGGAGCTTCAAAATTGACAGCCTACCTTTCCACGCCGAAATCTTTCTTCGGTTGTGCGACCTGCAAACCTCGTCTCTCGACCCGACGGAAACCTCATGATCAATACACAAACCTAGTACCTTGCGACGGTCATCTTCCTACTGGTGGCATTCACGCTGCCCCTCGTTCTGCGACTTCAGCCAATTTCTGGCCATCTATGAACCAAGTCGACCTCCTCCGCTTCCTCTCCAAGCCCGCAAAGTAAGCCCTTCACTCTTCTCTTGGGTTCCTCGGTGGAAGTATCATCCATCGCATGCTCTATCTACTGATCGATTCAACCCGACAACGATTGACTACCTTCATAACATCGGCGCATCCCGCTAACGTTTCCCTTCCCTAGGCCCAGATAACACCTGCTTAAACACTAGGCACCAAACACTTCCATAGAAGCATCGCTCTTCTACTAGACTCCGTTTCCCACCATCCAACCGACCTCCCATCGCGCAGATAACCTCGTCTGCCGGGTCCGATACTCCACCACAGGTATCGGTTTCTGCCAGAGCGAGGCCCTACAACAAGACACAATTCCGATCCTTAGGGTTATTTTCCTACCCCTCAACGCTCGACCCCCCTAACGTCCTCAAGTGACGTTGCACCTTCTATACACTGTTTGCTGCTGGCTCCGCCAGCCTCCAAAATTGTCCACCCTCCTGTGGGCCTACTCTCTCAAACGAACGCCGCAAAGTTCGTTTGAGCGGTAGCTAGTGTCCCGCGGACTTCTAGCCCTTTACCGGGAAAGTCATCAAACATCCAAGCCTACTCTTTCTCACGCGAGCTCCCGGGTTGCGCCCAAAGAGCTAGTCCTGCAGAAGATGGTCAACCCCTCCGTCCCCAACGACTACGCCCTCTCCCCGGCTGAGGCTACTCCTCATCTGACAATCAATCATGATGTCGCTGCTGACCTAGACTCCACCAACGCCTTTGAAGGTAATACCGCCTAAGCAAAATGACAAGCCTCTAATCCGACCGCTTGCTGACAGACATACTCTCTAGGCCCGGAGAAGCTCCTCGAAGTGTGGTTCGCCCCTGGCCCCGAGTCCCTCCCCGCGAGCGCCCAGCCCAATGGCCTGAAAGCCGTCTCCGCCGACACCTGGGTCACCATGCTCGACATGGTCAACTGCAAGATCCTCTCAGTCCTTGAGTCTGACTCTGTCGACGCCTATCTCTTGTCCGAGTCGAGCTTGTTTGTGTTCCCCCACAAGCTCATTCTCAAGACCTGCGGCACGACCACTCTCCTCCTGGGCTTGCAGCGACTCCTCCACATCGCGGCTGAACACGCCGGCTTCCCGTTCCATAACGCCAAGGAATCCACAAATGTCAAGGCTGCTGCAACCCCCTACCGAGTCTTCTACAGTCGCAAGAACTTTTTATTCCCTGACCGTCAGCAGGGTCCCCACCGAAGCTGGAGATCCGAGGTCAAGTACTTGGATGACCTGTTCGAGGGTGGCAGTGCCTACATGGTTGGCAAAATGAACGGCGATCACTGGTACCTCTATATTACCACGCCGAACAAAACCTTGACGCCCCCTAGGACTCCTGACGAGGCAGAAGAAGCTGCTGCATTCGCCGCCAGGATTCCCACAGGTAGCGTGGCCAGTTTCAGCAGCGGCTTCGAGGAGCGCAGTGACGAAACTCTTGAAATTCTCATGACCGATCTCGACCCTGAAAATGCGAAGCAGTTCTACTTGGCGGACGCGAGTGCGGTCGCTACCGACAAGTTGCACTTGCCGCAGACACAGGCGGCTCGGGACGATGCCCACCAGAGTTTGGGTGACATGTCTCAGGTTCATGAGAGGGCGGGCGGCGAGGACCATGTCGACGTCTTTGAGAACATCGGCGAGTCTGACCTCAACGATGGCGAACGTGCCGCCACTGAGGCTCTGACAACCGAGGGTCACGCAATTGGTACTGTCGTTTCCGAGGGTTGCGGTCTCTCCAGCGTGTACCCAACCAGCAAGTATCCCGGAGCTCGCGTCGACGCCTACCTCTTCAGCCCTTGTGGCTTTTCCGCCAACGGTGTTGTTCCTGCCATTGCCGACGAAGACGATGACTCGAAGAATGAGAAGGGCGGAAATGCTGCTCATTACTTCACTGTCCACGTCACCCCGGAGCCCAACTGCTCATTCGCCTCTTTCGAGACCAACGTCCCTGGAGGCCAGAGTGGCCGTACCACGGCTGAGATCATCGAGCACGTCGTTGACATCTTCAAGCCTGGCCGCTTTAGTGTTACTCTGTTTGAGGCCAAGGGCAAGAGCGCCAACCCCTATGGCATGGGTGATTATGCTTCTCGTGCGACTGCCGTTCAGCGTCTCGTTGACCCTGTCCGCGGGTACCGTCGCATGGATCGCATTGTCCATGACTTTGAGGATTACGACCTCGTCTTCCGCTTCTACGAACGGGATGACTGGGCTGGCGACCGTGAGGCTCGCCTTGGAGAGGAGATGTGAGTTGCCCTCCATGAGGCGTTGGCTATGTTTCTATTCTTCGAACGCGTGATGCATCTAGCCATAGTCTGTCCGGTAGCCATCCCGTCCAAAAACGCTCGCTATATATCATACACATATCTTTGCAAGGTATTTTTATAGTCAGATACTGTCAATCTTTGGATTTAGTTGCAGGATTTGTTTCTGAAAACAGATTGTTTCGTCAATAAATCACGAATCAGAGCCCCCTACACGTCGTCCTACCCACGAGCTTTGTCACTTTATCTGACATCCTGGGCCTGCTCCACTCATTGTCTGATATCTCAATCGACCATGATCCCGATGCGCTCGATTGCTGGGCAGATTTCTTCCACACTCAACGAGGCCGGCTGCAAGCCACAGCCATCCGGTTCAGCTACAAATTCTTGACCAGCCTCGGGCCGTTATTGACATGTCTACTGATTTTGGCAAGGAGAAGCCCAGGCTTGAGTTGAGTCTGCCAACCACGCACAGTTTTCCGAGGCGTTTATGGCTGCTCAGTAGCAGCCGGGCTCTGGAATGCATCAGATCGATAGGCCTTTGAGTCCCGATGCAGCGGTGCTCCAGCCCACAACCACCCCAGATGGCCGTTGGCCCCCAGCGACCAGTGCCTCGATTTGTCTCGGGCTGGAATGTTGAGAGCCCACCCGCCACGCCAGCAAGTGCTGGCAGCCATCGCAAAGACACCAGCCATCCCACTTCAAGTGATATATGAACATGCTCAGAGAAGGATATCGGAGGAGGGGCGATTTGGACTCAAGCAACAGTCAAGCATCAGATCAACCCTCGCCGCCTTCTGCCATGGCTCCTTCTCTCAAAGGCGACGACACCGTCAGTGTCGTCGAGTCGTTGGAGACAAAGTCCTCCATGTCAGGAAGCGATGTTTCCACAAAATCCCCGCCCAAGCCTCTCCCGATTGTTATGATCGCGGTCATGTTCTTCATGATCGTCGCGTCCGGAGGAGGCCTTTGTCTTTCGGCTCTTCAGTTTCGGCCCTCAAAGACTGGCGAGCGTGACTGTCTCAGTCAGAGCTTCATCCTGTTTGGTGTAAGTGCTGCCCCCAATGCCTGTGGCTCAGTCGAATGCAGGCTAACAATTCTTCACAGTCGATGATCTCCCCCATGTACGTGGTGCTACATATTATCGTGTCGTTCCGCAACTACCAGGTTGTCAAGAGGCAGTCACTGCAATCACCTTTGGTGTCATGGGCTGTCATTGTTGCCCGCTTGGGTCTCTTGCTCTGGATTCCGGCCGTGATTCTCTCTTCGGTAGCTCTATCACATTACCCCGGCTTCGTGACACAAAGCCCAATTACTGAGCTGAATTTCTCAGTATCCGTCATCGGAATGTACGTCGCAGCCTGAAAATGCATGCATACAAAATGCGCCTGGGACTAACACTCTTCGACTAGCATTTGCAGCATTGTCGTCATTCTTGTCCTGGAGATTGCATCGCACCCATTCGAGTTGCCCTGCTTCAGACGGCGGGACACGGTCACTTGTCTAGTCAGCGCCTTCGAAAAGGATCTCAAGGACGAGGAAGCCAAGCCTGCAAGCCGGCCAAACAGTCGTCCTCCGACCCCTCCAGCCTACTATTATTCTCCCGCCAACCACCGACACACGATCCCGGCCCCAGCAAGAGCCAAACTCGTCCGCAAAGCCAGCTACCCCCGGCGCCGAGAGCAAATCCCACCCGTCCCGCCTATCCCGTACCCGCACCCGGACTCCCTCGGCATCATGCTGCCCATCGCAGAGCCCCTGCCTCCTCTTCCCGAGCTGGAACAGACTTCCGTCGCGCCGGCCATCAAGATCACTCCCGCCAACGCGCCCGAATGTCTCTGCCCCGGGAACGGTAAGCTCGCCCCGCCGGCGAACAAGGACAAGCCGTGTCCCCCTCCCCCCGGAACGGCGTGGGCTAAGGATTGGGAGCAGCTAGCCGTTGATACCGGCGTGCGACGAAACGGGTCATTGAGCGACTATGGGTCTACCGTCGGAACGGATACGCTTGATGGAAGGTTCGATACCCGTGGAGTTGCGTTGAAGCCGCCTCTGCCTTCGATCATCGTCACACATAGTCCAGAGCAAGTCTGACAGTCGAAATGTTGTGGAAAAGTTGGATAAAGTTCCTTCCTTTGAATGCTGTACTGATTGGTTGTCTGGATAAGGCGAGGTTATGGATTACGGGTCATGGGTAACGGATTACGGATCATGGGTTATGAGCAGATGAAGCGTTTTTTTGTTATCTTTACGAGTCGTCTTGTTGGATTTCTTTTGTAATGAATCTCAATTCCATTCTCTCGAACACTGTCCTCGTACAATCTTTTGAGAGCCTGGTGATGATCTTCTTCCTGGGATCGAAGTTATGCTCCTCACAAGTCTGACGCCCGAGCAAGCAGGCCAGTCATCCCGCGCGGGAGGTCATCGCAGGCTCCGTAGTGAATAATGTGACGATCTGCAAAACACGTCAGATGCCCAATATACTCGGAAAAGCAGACTCGCTAGAGTTGGACGAGGCCCTCCATGCTTCTGGTTCATGATCCTGTACCAAGCAGTCGTGGAGGCTGTTGGGTGGATAACGAAGAGTATATAAACGAGGTCACAGCATCAAGCACATTATAGCCGTTCTTATGCTTGGTACCATTCTTTGACTCCTCGATCTCTGCACTTCACAATCCAATCCATCATCAGAAAGGAGATCGAGCAGGTTCCTTCGCCTGCGAGTCTAAATCCATGAAGATCCAGAAGTTGCTTCTTCTACCTACTGTCTCCTCGGCCACATCGACGGGCTTTCCTACCTGCTTGCTCGGGCGCGGCGGATGGCAACTGGGTCACGGCAGACTCGATCTTTCTGCTTTTGCGGCATACGAAAACATCATTGCCGTAACTCTCAGCTACCGCACAAATGGTAGGATACGCTCAATCTACAATGATCATCATCTACACAGGCATGTATCCTCTAGAGCTAACGCATGTGCTCTATAGTCTTTGGCTTCCCTACTTCACCTGAGATCCCACTGCTGGAACCAAAACCTGGGTTTACACGACCAGCGTCTCGCTCTCACTTGGGTACAAGAAATCATCGCCTCCTTTGACGGCGACCCGTCCAAGGTTACGATCTGGGGCCAGTCCGCAGGCTCCTTTTCGGTGGACCACCACCTCAAAGCCTACGCCAATGACACGCTGGTCCCATTTCGAGCTGCAATCATATTTAGCGGCCAGATGAGTTTCTGAAACCTCGCCCATCCACCGCCCGGAATCGATGCCTAGACAGGGTTTTCCGCGTTCAGTCGGATGTGTCAACGTGACAGATGAACTAAGGTGTATGAGGGCCGTTCCAGCGGAGAATCTAATCAGCGCCATGCGAAAGTATCGCATCGCTTTCGGATCACAATGCGATAACGTGACGGCCCTCAGCAAGCCGAGTGATCTCTGGAGAAACGGGATCGTCGTCAGAGTTCCTCTTCTGACGGGCGCAGTGGAGGAAGAGGGGGGTGGGCTGGTCAATGACAAAGTCAACATGACGGCCTTCTTCAATGCATATCTTCCGCCGGCTCTGATATCATCCGAAGACCTGTAGACGATTGTCTCATTGTATCGCTCTGATACCCGAGTCAAGAATGACTTTGATCTTGCTTCGGCCATTGACACTGATTTGCTCTGGTCTTGTGTACGTTTTCTCCTCAACCGAACCTCCCCAAAACTTGAAGTCGCTGACGAACAGGCGCGGCCTCAATCCACCCTTGCCTCAATAGCAGCCTCGAATAATATCTCTACCCGGCTCTATCACTTCAATAGCTCCATTCCAAATCTCTTCCCTAAAGAGTACGACTGGCTAGGCAAATTTCACGGCTTGGAGATTGTTCTTCTCTTCACCGATCCGGATACCACACCTTACACCCCTCAGACATATGCAGTGTATGAATACTTCAGGGGCGTCGTTGCGCGCTTTCTGAAGAATCCTTCCGCAGGTCCTGGGTGGCCGGCCGTGGGGTCGTCTTATGCTCCAATCGACGTCGCGGTTCTGGGGGATGTGGGTGATACCTCGAGCGTCAAGACGGTGTTGAATTCTACGGCCCTGAATGAGAGGTGCAAGCGTTTCGACATGATATAGCCCAAACTCGAGGTTATATATCGCTATACTCACTCTCATAGGCATCGATGAACTCGGTTCGTGCAGATAGATTCATACCGAATCTCGTATTATTTGACAACTCCTAGCCAAAAGCGCCCCCCCCCCCCCCGAAGCGCTCAAGCAACTTAGCTCACGACACAACCCTCACCGTGCTCCCAGCCTCCCCCTTCTCAACCGCCTCCACTCTTGGCCCAATCTTCCTCCAAATCTCCTCGGCAACATCCTCAAGCGTACCCCCAGCATCGACCACAACCAAATCCTCCTCCTCTTGCCGAAACTCCCGATCGACCCTGCCCTCCTCGCCCAGCCCACCATCAGGCCCAACGCGCCCCAGGCTCAGGCCCCAAAACAGCTCGCGCACCCGCTTCTGGAACTCGGCCTTTTCGTACACTTCGCCGCCCCAGCCCCCGCGCTCCCGGGCGACGGCCTCCTCGAGGTCGAGGAACAGGACGAGGTCCGGTCGGGGGAGGCCGATTTCCGGTTGACGCGCCCAGTGAAGATTCAAGGTGGGGTTCTGTTTCGCGGCGGAGTAGACGATGCCCGAGTGGTAATACCTGTCGCAGATGACGGTGTATCCTGACGCCAGGAGATTTTGGATGTTTTTTCTAGACAGGTGTAAGCTTACTCAGATATAATGATGTACGGGAAAGGGGGACGACTTACACTGCTTCCCATCTGTTTGCGCTAAAGAGAAGGTGGATGACGTGGTCTTCCATCTCGACTGAGCTCTTGAGATATGCATCAATCATTTGACCAATAGGCGTTGTTCTATCTAGAATATGAGTTGAATTAGTGACAACAGTTGATGCGTCATCCATATACAAGTATGGAAAGACCATCGTTGACGTTACAAAAGCTGGATACGTACCCGGAAACCTCATAACCTTGACCTTCTTCCCCTCTTCAATCAACCGCTGTTCAAGCAGCTTCACCTGCGTGGTCTTGCCACTCCGATCGAGACCTTCAAATGCGATGAAAGTCCCGCGGACGACACCCGCCGGCGGTGTGGTGACGGGGAGAGCATCACCGGCCTGTCCGCCGCTTGCGGCCGACGTCGCTATTGCCGCCGTGGCAAGGTCATTGATCGATGCCATTGAGTCTCGATATTCCGCTTCACAGTGAATCCCGGTGCTCCAATCGCAACTTCTATGGTCCAATGAGCGGATATGAGTGCGGGACACTGCGATGGTGTGAGATGCGAGTGTCGCCGAGTGGTGCGGTTCTGGGTGCGAAGGTGTAATGAAGTGGACACATGCGGGCCGAGTGGAGCCCCGGAATACGGGCGTTGGAGCGACCGGGTACCTAGGGTGAGGTGAGCGGCTGTCACGTGGGAGCACATCGCGGACCAACGACACCAGATTGCCCGTCTTGAAGCACCCGGATGGTGCGAGGGATGATGTGACGATGGATGGCAGTGTCTTTCGTAAATGGGCTACACGGTTGCATGGTCAAAGTTGTTGGCCAAGAGGCATGGTGGGCGTGGTGACAAAAAAGGCTCCAAAACGTTGCAGAAATAATAGCTTCAATAGTGCTCTATTGATAAGGACATCAATCGCTCAAACACAATCAAACAATAGCAATACTCCGAACCCAGCTTTGTACAAAACAAGACACCCGAATCCGTTGTTCCTACACCAAGAGTGTCCCAGGGTTCCCCGTCGCTTAGTCCTTGCTCGTCCATCCGAAATCCCGAATAACCGTTGCAAACGCCGCATTCATCATGGACCCGTAATTAAAAGATGGTGAATAGTTGGAAGCGAAGTATAGTCGAGTCAAATGACCAAAGTGAAGCACGCCATCATCAGCATTCAGCAACCACCACCTCTGATTCATCTTTGGCGCTTCCACTTTCCCACAGCTCAAAGCTCTCACCGGTGCCCTCCATAGGCTCCAAGAGCGCAGCCTTGGCCGCTGTCTCTGTAGATTTGCCCATGAGCTCGTCTACACCTTGTTGTTCCAAAGGAACCTCGGGCGGGGCTGCTATGAGTTCCGGGACAGGCTCTTTGAGTTCGGGCACTGCGGCTTGGGGGGCCACCTCGCTCTCCTCCTCTTCCTCTTCGTCGGCGGGGACAATAATGATCGATGACTCGTCGCAGCCAAACGCATAAAACTCGCTGGCATCCATCTCGCCCAGAGCTATCCTCTCCTTTTCAAAGATCATCTCGTCCTCGCTGGTACGACGAGCAGAGCGACGTGCAGATGTCTGGCTCACATCATCGACAGGCGGCACGTTTTCCTTGTCACGACCCTCTGCGCGGTCCCTGCTGGCTTTGCGTTCACTCTCCTCATCAGAGCTTATGTCGAGGACACATGTGCCGTGCTGGAGCATGTTGGTCATTTCCTGCTCTGGCGTATCCTCATGGATATCAAAGAACCAAGATGCCTTCAAATCAGGCTCGTCAACAAGGTCCTTCACGGCATTCCGCGAGGATGTGGCAACAGTAGAACGGGCAGCATAGCTCGGGATAGTCCCCTTGAGAGCAGCATCGAGGCTGAATGGTGCCGAGGAGGATGAAGGGAGGTTGAAGGCAGGCGGATCTACGCGCGTGTAGGGGCCAGCGGTTCTACGGCGGTTTGAAAGGATGCCGGATCTCTTGCCGCGAGTTGGCGAACGACCAGCGGGAGCTGAGAGTGGGGAGGACTTGGCGATAGCCGTATTGATCTTAGCTGAGGGCGATTTGGGCTGGAGTAAACTGCGAGGGCGAGGTAGGGTAGGCCTTGAGGAGTTCAACATAGGGCTGGCAGCGAGAGGCGCGGCCTTGGTTAGGACGAAAGACGAGGGCTTAAGGACATCCTTTGACGGGTAGAAGGTTTCGGAGCTCTTAGATCGCTTGGAGAAAGCAAACGGGTCTACATTTTCGCAATCGTCGGTTTCTACGCTCTCTGAAGCTTTGCGCTTACCGCCAGTAGCTGATGGAGCAGCTGTTGAAATTATTAGCTACCATTTGCGCAAGGATTTTGGACATGTTTGGGGCAGGTGCTCAAGTTGGTGGTTTAGGCGCATTCTAGCGGTATGGCGGGCTGATGTCCTTGAGAGAGCCACATGCAGCGCCCGCCATGTTGCGAGTACACAATATGAGAACATATGAATTGCAGGGAGGGAAACGGGCGTGCTTGGTCGTGGTTTGATCAAACATACCATTTTGTCTATTCTTAATGCTCGTCAGATTCTGCAGTCGGGTGCCGTCGAGGGGCGCAAAAGGTTGACGTGAAATGGACGCCATCGTGTGTGGATCGAAGCGGTTGTGCGCGCAGCAGGGCGAGTGGATGTGGTGTTGTGGTTCCGCTGTACGGTGCGATGGGGTGCGGTGCGTCGGGAATGGGGGCAGCCCAGCCAGCGGCTTTCAGTTTGATGCCTGGGTCCCAGTTGCTCTGTGATCGACAGTCGGCTCGATTCGTGGAGAATGGGTACTCGTGAGTGAGTTCCTGCGTTCCCTCGTCGGTAAATTCCCTGGGAAAGCAAGTCGGTGCCAGACAGACTCGACGGTGTTGAAGCTTTGGGGGCGGCGGTTAGGCGTGCAGTGGAATAGCGTAGCGAGTGTGTGTATTCGTTGTTTATTTGTTGTTCTCTCCCGCGCAGTGGAATCGAGAGAGTTGGTTGCAGGAAGAGAGTGATCGAAACGCAGTCGACGAGCTGGCGTGGGGTGGGAAGGGGGGGATAGAGAGAGAAAAGAGTGCGAGCGAGGTGAGCGTCGGTAGGGAGCAGGGATTACTCTAGGCTGAGAATGAGATGCGGTCTCTCTTGAGTGGGAGAGAGAGACGCGGAGAGGGCGCGCGCACGGAACCGGGGGTGGGATAGAGAAGGGCGTGTATCGGTAAGGCCTGGGTTTGGGTCCTGCCGGGGCCTGGTCTTGGTCGTGGGTTCGACAAGTGATAGCGCAACTACGGAGCAGCAGAGTAGTCTGGCGGTATCTGTTGGACGGATGCCGATGGAGACGGTAGCAAGCGGCGTTGGTCGCTGAATGCAAGGCCCTGGAGCCAAAAAAGTGGTTTGAGGTTGAGCTACGCTACTGCGCGAGGAACAGAGATGGGCCACTCAGTGCCCAGAAAAGCAAGCGACGGTATGGTATGTCGAGGAAGACGGGTGTGCGAGGGGCCAACTAAGGACGTGTACAGATAGTATACGCAGTAAGGGCTAGGAATCAAAGTCTAGGCGTCTTGTCAGCAGTTGGAGAGAGATACTTGGATGATGGGATTCGTAGGAGGGGAAAGAATAGGGCAGTCTAGGGATGGCGGGTACCTTGCTCTAAAAGAGACGCGGAGGCAGCGCAAAGCAAACACGGTCTGGCGTCTGGGTGGAGCAAGAGTTAGTTCTCAGCCGATGGAGACGGAGATGGGACGTGGATTGTGGAAGATGGTGTGCGGCGTGCCAGGGCAAGGGGGCGAGGGATGCCGGGCAGGGTAAGGTAGGACAGTAAATTGATCTGCCATCTGCGGTGTATTGGATCATGGGATGCTTGTTCACTCACCTCGAGAAGTTGGAAGTCGAATGAGTTGGGTCGAATGAAGGCTCAAGTCTCGAAACGGCGATGCGCGTTCAGCTGTGTGCGGGTGCGAGATTAGGTGGTTCCGGGAGTCGAACGATGAACCACTGGTGCCTCGACAGGTAATAATGGGAAGCGTTTGAACGGATAGAGAGAGATGAAAGACTGAGAGACTGGAAGCGCCAGAGACTCGGAGACAGAAAACGACGTGGTAAAACGCGAGAGTTCCGTGACAAGACCAATGGAGACGTCGTATTGCTGGCGTGTCGAGATGGGCCAATGCAGGTGAGAGACACCAAATCGTCCAAAGATCAATTAGGGAAAGTCAGATGCAGCTTTCCTTCCCTTTTCCCTGCGAGTACTGCGGTACCTCACCTCACCTAAGGTACCTAGGTAGTCTGACCGGGCGGGCACGACGGGCAGGCGGGCAGGCGGACAGCTGTGATGGGAGAGTGGAGCAGGCACGTATGTATGTATGTACTTACCTCATTGGCGTGCTGGCGTCCTGCTGAGGAAGGAAACATCACACGTAAAATCCCGTCAGGAAAGAGAGACTCGTCGGGAAAGTGGATCTACGGGAAAGCGACGTTCATGCGACGGGCTGTGTAAGTCATATGATTGGTCGCCGCGAACAGGAAAGGCAGCAGCGGCCTGGCGCACCTCGGCCAGGATGCAACTTCCCTCTCCAGTCTCCACTCTCCGTACCGCGATACACGGCCAATTAAACGCGTCTGCGATAAGCGGGGCAACGACTTGCGACCAGCCAGTCATGTCTTGCCTGTTCTCAATATGGGCGACTGTGCCCTTCCGTCTCTCCCTCTTTACATCAGTACAAGTTTAGGCTTCACCAACTGGCAAGCGAATATCCCTAGAGCGCGGCCTGATTCCAAGGGAGAGTGCGAGACATGCGAATTTGCCCTACGCGCTCATAAAACCCACATAGTCCGTCAGGTTGCCCACTATGCATCCGTATCTGTTCCGTACACTACAGTGATCCTCATCCATACGGCCCACAGACCGGGACCCCTCGCACCCGTCGGCAGTGCGTGTGGGCAGTGGCATTTACATACCTTCCGAAATGACAGCTGCCCATGCAATTGCGTCCTCTCACTCATTCTCAACTTGGGAGTCTGTCACTGCAGCCCATTCAGCAGATCATCTTGGCTACGGATATCTTTACCTTACCTTGCTCTAGTGGGTACCTGATCTGACTGCCATCACTTTCATCTCAACTCACCCCGCGAAGCGTGAGCGAGCACTGTTGAACCTCTGGCCATAGCTCCCACAGCTCATCCATACCTACTATGACTTACATTCATTCATTCTTCTTCATTCTTCCTCCCTTGGATGAATAGGAACACTACTTACTTTTGTCCCGCAAACCATCTCCAAATAATGTCAAAGCACAGATTTGCCACATTGCTTATTTCTCCTCTCTTTCTCACTCACTTCACCTCGCAATCAAATAGCTCCCCTCATTCCAATATGCCTCGCCCCAACCAATCGAGCTTCCAGCCGATGTTGGCTTAGAGCCTTAGCCGCCCTCACTCACACATTATGGCCCTTCCGACGCAGGGGGTAATCCCACCTACCTCAAACCTCTGCTCTGCCACTCTCCCCAACCTCGTGTTGGGACCTTCGTTCGTCAGTTTGCTGAGCGCACATTCTCTGGGTGACCTCATGTCTCGTCCATGGACTTACTTGACCCCACCTCTCATGCTGGACTTGACAGCTGCTCGCAGAACCGCGAGAACGGCACGCCAGGTCTCCCATCATGGCCACCCAACATCACGGGTGGCCAGACGGTCTTTGGCCTCTCGCCTCCCGTGTTCCGGGTCTCTTGCGTTGCGGGCCTCCGCGCTTCTCAGGCGTTCTGATAGCGCAAGTGTTGCCTTAGGATGCACCTCAACTCTCCTCATGCCAACACAACCCATTGGCCTTTGATCATCGAGGTGACGCCGGCCTTTAACCATCTTCGCCGCTAATGGGGAAGATATCTCTTCGTCCTCCATTCTCTGGGCTTTGGGCTGGGCCACGGCCATCGTCCTAGCACTTCGATTCGTCGGCTTGGAGCGTAGCTCTTGTGTTGTTGGCCATGATTCCGGGCCTCCCTCGCACTCATCCACCAACTCGGCATGAGGATTGCATGAAGATTAAGCCTCAGAGTCTCAACATCGCCACGTCAAACACAACACAACGTGCCGTCACAGTCGACTGACGTGAGGCACATCTGCTTCTTCTTCGCAATGTCTGCTGAAGCCTATTTCTCGGATTCATAAGCAGGGCTCGACTATCTAGTTGGTCCAGCAGGCTCCCCCATATGCCTCGCATAATCTGATGCGAAACATCCACCGGCGCCTGCTGAACTTCTGTGAACGAGTACTCTGACAGCATGATCATCCTCCAGGTCTCTTGCAGACACCCAGCGCTATTATTGGACGTAACTGGCAAAAGTCTTTGCCCTCGCTAAGGTGGTTCATGCATGCACAAGAAGTCGACAACCTGATTGAGCCACGTCTACAACCCTAATCCAAAATCACCAACCTCACTGCCGCGCTTCCCCAGACTAACAGATATGACGCCTGTGACATGCAAGGCCCTGACATCGATGCGTCGGACGTCCAAGAGAATGCATGTTGCCCTTGCTTCGAGCTCTCTACTCGGCTACTGAAGCTATTCTTCGCTTCTTCCCCGTCAGGTGATCGAGGGGAGAGGCTGGTCATTGAGACGTAAGTTTGCACCGTTCATTCGCTCCTTGATTCATTCTTGCCATTTTTTTTTTTTGGCTTCCTGCAGGTCGCAATTCCTTCTACAACAACCGATGAACGGTCCACCAGAAGCAATCATCTTATTTAGATGGCGCTGGTGCCGTTGACGCTATAGCGCGCCGAGTAAAGGCGGAGTCGTAATTCGCCTATCCTTTACAAACTTTTGAGACATCTATTGTTCTTCCAACTCATCGAAGATCATCTGGATCAAGAAGTCACACAAATGAGACAGCTTTCGTCTCATTGTGTCCATTGCGGCGAGACATGTTCACCGGCATTTCATCCAGCGGCTGGGAGATGCATCAAGTGGCATAGCGAGACATGGCAACAACCACCGAAACACAATTGCGGTGGTTGGATATTAGCAATAGAGTTTCACTATCAGCTTCTCTTGTGTATCATTTTGAGTTTCCATTCCTTTTGCCTTTTGCTCTACATCTTCATCGATACCCGCTGCGCTACAGTCAATGAATAGTCCCGGCGGGCAATCGGCGCCACGGTGGATCCCTTCGCTTCCGATGTTAGCGGGCGACGTGCAGGGACAACGGTGTTTCAGACGACATCTCGGCCGATAGGGGGCACGAGGGGAAACAAAAAAAATGAGGAGGCTGGGAGAAATTTCAGACCAGGGGCGAGGAATTCCCAGCCTCTTTATTTTCTCGAAAAAGGTCTGGAGATTTGCTTGAGTGTTTAGATATCTTCTACCCCTCTCTAAGCCCCCCTGCTGCGGACGTGTAATGCGGGTTTGTTCGCCCCCTTGCATGACACCATTGGGCTTACACCGGTACACCGTGACGCCGTACAACGCCGCCGGCTATGAGAAACCTGGAAAAGATGGAAACATATGTTTAGTCAATCCTATGATGAGTGACACAGGTCTGCATAATGTTGGACACGTGGCTAGCTTGTGGCAATTTGTGAGACGGAGCGCTCGTGGCTGGAACCTGGCAGCAGTGCACTGTTGAGTCCAGGGCTGCGAGTCTCGGTTGATTTCACTTGACTAGATGATATGAGTGAAATTCGGCTCTCATAATTGATGAGGTAAAGACACCTTGAAACAAGATGGCTGGCCGAACCTTTCCAGCTTCCAGTTAGTGTGGGTTTGTCGCGAAGCTGTCGCCAAATCCACCGCTGTCTCGGTGATTAATAACCAGACTCTGTGATACCGTATAACCCAAGTTTATCACCGCTTGTAACAGTCCCAATACCGAGTCAAGTGAATGTAGCCATCAGCACCTGCCCACAGAGATACCTCAAACAGTAGAGTCAAGTAATCAGGCAAAGCGACCTCAGCGGAGCATCAGTGAACCTCAATATACGCGCTAAACATTGATAATATTGCCATAGATGAGAATGAAGACACAGTAGAAATCGTTAAAGGACAGGCTCCATGACTTCACGAGGCGTCGATCTTGGTAGATGTCTTCGAGATTTCCAACGTCGGTAGTCAGTCCTTCATTGGTGGCTGGTTCAAGCGCTGATGCCGGCATTTTTTGATATCGAGGGATGGTTGCTTGCATGTTAAGACTATTCATCTTGACATCACCCCGAGTGGACATCTACTTCGAGCACATGATTGCATTTGCCTCACCAAGTATCTTCTAAACCTCCACCCGCCACGGTTTCATCCACATTACGCAGGCTATATGGCTGAAGTGAATATCCAGAGCGCGCACAGGACTTTGAAACTTGAAAATTGTATGTAGTTGGTTCTCTCAACTTCAGCTTACTCAGTTGAGCTTGCCATACAGCCCTCAGCCAATACTCCATGGAACGGAAATGAGTAATATCGTTGAATCCGTACATACCTACTCATATTCATCATGGCAAAATGCCTTGGTCTAAGATTAAGTGAGACTAGGTGGATCACCATAACCAGGACATCTGAACATACGTCGTTCATTACCAAGCTTAAGAATCTGCATCTACTAATTATTTCCTTCTCTCAACGCATCTTCAAGCTAAAGCTACTCACACAGAACACCTACGAGAGTCAGAACTAATATATTTGTGTCTTGAAATCCTGTATATTTACACCTTGGATTATACTAAGAGCCTGATACTGTACCTTGTAAGCTCTTTGATACACGGTGGCCAGATGAAGAGTTCCAGTGCTAAGCACCATTGCCGCGCTTCGAAGAGGCCAATCCCAGAGCTTGTCATAAGGACTTCATAAGCGGTTATCAAAACGTGAGTAATAAGACAAAATGGTTGGGTTTATATTGACCTAATGAAACTCGAGACAGTTTCTCAAACTACATGTTCATCTGTTTCTCTGTTGGCATTACGTGTTACAATCATGAGCTTTCAGCTCGTTGCAAAGATGCAATGCAAATAACAGGAGGCAGTAAAGACTTTCCCTAGAACCATTAATACGAGGAGTACATTCCGTCACCTTTACGTTTTCATTTCAAAGTCTGCCTGCTTACCTCTACCGGCTTTAGGTGCCGCCGGTATAACATTTGGCCGCATTCTCAAATCTTGAGTCATCTTGACAATAGCACGTAATCGTATATGTTTAGAACTAACAAGGAAGATGAAGAGTTGACGTGGCGAACAAAGTCAGGTATGGCGACTTAGGTGTAAGATTGAATGACGGTTCAACAAGACGAACCCGAAGTGCTAAAAGTTATGGAATACGGAATCGTACAGCTATAGGATACGGTGTGAGTCTTATTTGCTTGTCAAGATTACAAGAACCCGCAACTAAGTTCCAAGTGAAGTAGCGATTCATCTTTCTAGTCAAAATAAACGTCGTAAAAGCACTACTGAAACTTCGAACGAATTCTCTCCTTCAGGAGCCTTCATGAAAAAGAAAAGTTGCAAGAATGCTGGACAAAATGATTTAGGATTGAAGATGGAGGTTGCATTTGGAATGCCGATTACAACTAGTCCCCGTTGCACTACGCGCCGATGAAATGCCACGAAATCTACCTCATGTATGAAATAATCTGGGGAGGTTTAAGTACCGTAAATTGAGAACATTATCACCAAGTCATTGAGATGTCACAGGCTGTCACGTGGGAACGTCATTGGCAATACCTAAACTCATGACACATGATTTATTTCATTGAGCCTACTGTATGTGGACTTTCTATTATCATTATACCCCCATACCACACAGATCCGTCCCTCGACCATCTCTTGGGTTACATATGGTATGAAAGTCGCCAAGTACCGAGGCCTTGTTGTTGGCCGAGCCAGCCTCGCGTCCAGTAAAGGGTGAGGGGAGATGTGTGGGTTGGTGAAGTGCGCTTAAGGAGTGAGATTATTGCGTATTGCGTATTGCGTAATGCGTAATGTAGAAGATATGTTTGGTGCCTTTACACGAACCAGCTCTTGACCCAGTCGGTGGCGCGCTTGTAGCCCTTGTAAGTGCCATAGGCACTGTAAGTCTGAGGGACCGGCGTGGGGCTCGGGGTTGTGGCCGGCGGGGCACCGTAGGTGCCGTAGCTTCCGTACTTGCTGTAGTCGTACTTTCCGTAGTTGGTGTAACCCGATGTGGCTTGAGGGGCAGGGGCGGGAGCGGCCTCGGCGTTGGCCTCGGCAACAGGTGCGGCGAGGGCGGCCGAGGCGGCGGTCAGGATGAGAATGGCGGAGACCTTCATATTTGCGTTTGGTGAAGAAGAGAAGTATGGAGACGAAGCGGCTTGGCTGGTTGAAGTTACTTTGGCTCTGACGACTTGATTATGTGAGATAATTGTTTGATGGGTGATGAGGATAAGAGAGAGAGATCGTGGGATTGATGGTGGGATCACGGCAATACTTATGGCAGAGCCAAGCTGAGATTCAAGTTGCAGACGATGGTATTGTCTGGCACTCTTCCATGACTACTATACCGGCCACCCTTGAGCCCGAGTGATGAGGGTATACGCGCCGCATCTGGGATCGTGCTGATGACCTAGTAATCGTTGAGATGGCGTTTCCCTTTGGTGGATGAAGGGTCTACAGGCTAATGTGAACGGCTGCAAGGGAGCCCTTGAACCGAAAGCTCGCTAAGATGGAAGACACAATGCCTCTGGAAGCGGGGGTACGCCTTGTAGGCAGAAACTTGCAAGATTACAGGGTAGGCGGTCGAATGGGTTGTGAATGGCGTCACAAGCTCATCCGGATGCGTCCGGGACGGCCTCAGGATGTTAGGAGTAGCCTCACGATGTCTCGAAGCCATCGGGCGATGTGTATACCACGCTAGAAGGGGGGCTCGCATGGCTTAGAGGACTTCAACAACCGGCTAAGAGATCGTCCTCGTATTCTTGCATCTCTGATGGTGTAGATGATGCAGAGATCATTGCATGTGGGTGTCATGACCGGGCAAGGGAGCTCCGAAAGGATCAAAATGGGCTGTTAGTCAAAGCTCACCTATAGATCAAAGATCACGTTGACTGCCACTGCTGGAAATGGAGCTAGGATCTAGTCTAAGATGTGAGTTCTTCACTTAATGCTCGAAGGTTGAACTGCAAAACATGTCTTGTCATCCGGTCACAGACAAGCACGATGCAAGCTCGAGGAAAATCCGATCCGGGCCGACTTCCAAAATACCAGTGACCGACACAATCGCGGACGATAACACGAGTGGAACCGTCCTCATGGCTACCAGGCTGAACCCGCCGTGTCTGAGAAGAGTGTCTGACATTGATGAACATCGTGATACCTATGCGAGGTCAAGCACGCTGAGAAACCCAAACAGGAATAGCCTCGCAGCCTCAGTCCAAGTCGAGCAAACTCCGAGGTGAAGTCTATGGTGGGGGAGCTTTTTTTCTGATTCTGCACGCTGACGGAGATCAGCCCTACTAACACGGAATTGGCTGCGGGACAAGCGGTTGCGTTAGTGTCAGCCCCCGCCCTTCTTACCATGCTATTTTGGTGACTGATTTTCGAAGCTTCGGTGGCTCCAAGACATGGTAGCGTGGATAGCCGGGAGTGGTCATGGCGGGTTCATGATGAGAGGTTGTCTCTTTACTGTAAACTTGAACTTTCCCATCCCGCTACCTCATGCAGATCCATGAGTCGACATAACCATGCAGGAGTCCATGCCTCTTTGGTACACGAAGGTCTCTCGGCAAGGACCGCTTAACTCTTGTCCTTCTCACGCTTATTCCGACGGCATGGTCTTAGCTCAGTTCGGCTCAGCGTAATTGCGACGGCGGCTGTGCTTGGTGCCGGAAACATGGACCCGGACACGACCGAAGGAAATCAGAAGGCCGTCGTGCCGTGATACCTAGATGACCTCTTATAACTTTGCTAATGTCAAGAGCAGATTTTGGGTAAAGTGAAAACTTGACTGAGGCCGGAAACTTGGAGGCTGCCACGTTGGGGGCGGTGGCTCCGTGGGCTGGAAGTTTACTATGTGGATGGCATCTAGCGTTGAAAGAATCCAGTCAGGCCAAGTTAGGGCTGGTGGTTGAGATTCGGTCTTATCGGAGCACGACTGAAGTCGATCTACCGCGAGTCTGCTTGAGCTGTCTGTGTAGTCGATGATCAGGTGCTGTTCCCATCTCACACGCAAGGGATGACACCAGATCCTAACGGATTGTGCAATTGCGCGAGAGCTGCCTTGTCGGAAATGATTCTCGATACGATGCCCCAAAAGTCCCTCGACATATACGATGACTGTCGACAGTGTAGACTGGTAAGCTCCCTACAGATACGAGATCTTACTACCCCAGACCGTCCATCTGGCATCACGTCAGGCGTCGGGGGAAAGGTTCGGAAACTTTGCGATTGGTGCCCGCAGGCGTCGAAGCTGCAAACTACCAGCCTAACAGTAGACAAGCGAGACAACCACCACGCTAAGCATGAGGATCCGTTCGAATTCCTCTCGTTTTCCCCTTCTTTCTTGGGACAGAGAAAGAGTTCGTGCCGAATTTCCCAGCCTTGGCATCGTGTGAGTTGCTGGGATGCCAGCAAGACCGGCGGGCAGCAATTCCCGCCTCGCAGCCCTCGCTGCGTGGGCGTAGCTGCCTCCCCTCCTCGCGCAACCATCAGCCGCATGCGCCGGCGGATCAGCTGCAGCCAAACTATCGACGGCGACATTCCTGCCGCGGATGCCGTGTTCTGATGGGTACCAATTCTGGTGTCTTGGATCGTGGCAGGTGGGGGTTATGTTATTCGTATGGTAGTGTTGGCGGGCGATTGAGTTTTGAGCATTCCAGCTGCTTTCGGTAATCGCGTGGCAACCTTGACGGCGCACCAAATATACAGACGCCTCATCGTTTTGTTTAGCTACAGGGACATGTGTGAGCCGTGCTTGGAAGGCTAGCGAGCATTCCTCATGTCAGACAAGAGTCGTTGGGTAGTCCGTCTTGCCCGTTGCTCCCTCGGACGAGCTTCCCTTGGATCACGATCGCTCCATATCCTTCCCCTCTCTCAAGTTTTTTCTTGACGCGTTGCTGGCGGTTCTTTTATTTTGTCTCTATCTGTTACATCTTGATACCAATTTTGTCGAAACCATGATGCAAGAAAAGGAAGACGAGTCGAGCTCGAGGCTGCTCGCTGGCCGTGTGCAAGAGTCCGAAGAGGATCTCGAGTCCCTTCAGTCTGTTCCCGACGCGAGGCAACATGATACACAGAGGAGGCGAGATTGGAGAAGGACTGCAGCTGTAGTTGTGGTCTTCGCCCTTTCGAACCTCTTTTCCATGCACTTGGGTGCCCATATGAGATCGACTACAGCGGATCTAGATGGCGCTTGTGCTGCTCACACGACGCAATGGTCGCCGGTATTGAAAGACGTGGATGTTGAATACAACTGGAAGCATTTCAACGGATCGTTCCTACAGGAAGATATCTTTAGGAAGGAAGCTTCGCCAGAGGTTGATGCGGCGTGGGAGTCAATGGGTGTAGATTGTGAGTAACATCCATTTTCACGGCTTCTCGCCTACCTTAGTAGCTAATAATCTCGAGATCGCGCTGGGGTCATATCAATTGAAGACGGCTTGAAGAGCGGCCTCGACATGTCTTTTGTAAGAAGGTCAGAAAAGTACGGCGCGGGCTTCTTCGTCAACGTCGAGGGAATGCATCACCTTCACTGCTTGGTAAGTCAACAGCAGCGACTCAGCGTGGAACGTATGGTGCTCATGATTGATACAGAACTTGGTTCGGAAATCCCTTTACTACAATTACGACTACTACAAGAAGATGGGCACGCATGCTTTCGCCAACGAGGAGCACATTGTCCGTCTCCATGTTTGTAAGTGGAAGCCATTCTCTCAACGTCTTCAACCATAGCTGACCCTCGGCAGCACATTGCCTAGACACCATCAGGCAAGTCCTGGTCTGCAACGTCGATACTGGTGTTCTGGGTCAGGTCTGGGCCGGCGACCCTCCGGCGCCATTCCCGGACTTCAACACCAAGCACATGTGCAAGAACTACGAGGCGATACAAGAATGGGCAGAGAAGCTTCAGGTGAGTAGAATTTGGTGTCTGATTTTGGTAGTATGAACGCACGCTGACATCGACGTACAGGCTCCTCCCGTCGATACCCTCCCTGGCGACTATACTGCCCCTCCCGAGCCGAGTGATGTCCTTCCCACAACGCCATAGATACCAGAGTGGAGAGGTAATATTGCTGTAGGATTCAGATAGATGAACGATACTAAAACATAATGACGAATAGAGTTCAAAGCCATGTTGGAGATCCTAGACTTCCATGTGAGACGCCTGCAGCCTCAGGACTACATGTCCCTTGGCTACTAGTAGTTGAATTCCTGGCCAACAAGCTTCTCGCTCAACTTCCACAACCTATCCGCCTCGATTTTGTTGTTCGCCCAAGGGTAGATCTCCTCATCATACTGGTCGGCAATGCGGCAATCATTGAAGTACTGTCCGTTGAGACCTGGGCAGCATTAGCTTTCCGGTACATGACCTGCGACTCTGAAGCACTGCTGATGAACTCACTCTTGATGTCAGGACTGAATGCAGTGTACACATGAGTGGCGATGCCCTGGTCTTCCGTCTTTGGGTGGAACTCCGTCCACATATTCTTGGTGCCCATGATGATTTCCGTCTCCCCTGTTCGCACCGCGATTAGCGACAAGTTCTTCAAGTACCGCGTCCTCACAAGTGCTTTACTCACGCAGTGAATCAAAGCTCTCTAAATGGCCACCTAAATTGGTGAAGATGACGCCCGGATGCAGGCTGAAGCTCAGGAGACCCTTGTCGCCCAGCTTCTCGGCGAGTGAGAGAGCCATGAGGCAATTGGCCGTCTTGGACTGCGCATAAGCGATCCACTTGTTGTAGTGCTTGCCGTCCTGTGCCACGCTCTCCAGTCAGTGTCTGCAGCCTAGGCGCGATTCAAACAGCATGAGTACTGACATTGAAGTTGTAATCCGTCCACCGAATACGGCTCAAACGGTGCCCATCGCTGCTGACCGTCACGACCCTCGGCTCCTTTGCAGCAAGAACCTTTTTCAGAACCAAGTTTGTGAAAAGGAAGGGGCCGAGGTGATTCGTTCCAAACTGGCTCTCAAAGCCATCTTCCGTCTTGCTCCAGTCCGTAGCCATGATGCCCGCATTATTCACCAAAACATCAATGTGAGGCACATCCTCCCACCCATTCACAGTCTCCGCAGCCGCTCGCGCGCTCTTGAACGAGCTCAGGTCCAGCTCAAGCGTCTTGACAGCAACGGCCGGGAACGATGACGTCACGGCGTCGGCGGTCTGCTGGACTTTGGTGGTGTTGCGGCCCGCGAGGATGAGGAGGGCCGGAGAGGCGACGGCGACTGCTTGGGCGAATGCGGCGCCGAGGCCGCCGGGAGAGACACCGGTTACGAGGATTGTTTTCCCGGCGATCTGGGAGGCGTACTCGGCGACGAGTTCGGTGCCCGTTGTTTCACGGCCTAGCGTGGGAGCCATGGCTTCTTGTGTCCTGGTCGTAGTAGAGGGATTGCTGGAATGCCTAGAATTTTGTATGGCAATGGTTGCACGAATTGATGATGTGGAAAGCCGTTGATGTTTCGTTAGAGACAGCATCAGTTGTAGACAAGTGGCATGTTTGTCTTTATAGAAGCTTCATGGTCATCTACATTTCCCGTCGCACTTCCGCATGTGGTAGTACAAGTCGAACGCCGTCATCTGTAGACGCAAGTAAGAAGCCTCTTAACTCCAGACCCAATGGGCATGAGGCGAGTGGGAGCCGAACGCCCAGAACTCATCTCGAGAACCATGGGGCTATGAAGCTGAAGTCCGCAGCTTGCGATCCTTCACGTTCGGTTGCAGCTCACAAGGGACAAAAGTCCAAAACCAATGGATATTCAGGGGAAGCCTGGAAGAACTTTGGTTTAAGTGGCCACCAAATGTAGCCCGGTGGGATGACATTGCCTGTATAGTGCATACTCATCCGGTCTTTACTACTACGAGAATTGAATAGCGGCACGCATCTCGTCGGCGTTAGGTTCAAAGATGCTATCAACAAAAGTTCCGTCTTGTCAGTTAGCTTCCAAATCATCTATCGCCGAAATATTTGAGTCTCGTTTGTCGGACATTATTGCGAATCAAAAGGACGTGAGTAAATAAGAGGCGCCCGAGCCGGAGTTAAGAGATGGAAACCCCTTTAACGCCCGGGTCTTGGAGGAGCAAACGGTACCATAACTTTTCCGTGTGCCCGTCTCCCAAGGCAGAGGGATCAACATTTAACTACGGAGTACACAGCACGGATTTGCGACAACCTGAACCCCATCCCGTCCACACGGCATGCATTCCTTGGCACACCGGCGCAGACACCGTGAATCATTGAAACACGACGGGCCGCCCCGATGGTCCCCCACTCCGGAAACCCACGGACCCCGTCGCAGCACCGTCACTTCCCCCGGGGCGCTTACCAGGTATGAGCTACTGATGGCACTCTCTTCTGGAACAGACACTAAGACTAGGAATCGGTGTTGAACAACAAAACGAACAAATCTCAGTAGTACTTAGGTACCTTCCTCCTTGATAGGTTACTGCTTCACTGTACTTGTAAATGTTCATGGGCGTGATTCTCCGCACTTGAGCAAGTACCAAGGAGTAAGTGAACGGATGGGCTTCCTGGCTGCACAGCCCTGCCTTACTCCCGGGCGTTCCTATCCGCCCATTGTAGGTACTGTACTTTACCTTGAGTACTTCGTGACGGGAGGCTGGAAAAGGCAAATGGCATCTCGGCACGGGAGCACCGGCTTCTATAGTGACACCGCATTTCAATCCTCCAGTTGAGACTCGAGCCTCTGCTAAGGTATCCGATCTATATTCTCACTAGTGCCTCTACTTCGTAATCCCCCCCTTTTCACCAACCAAAAGCTCTTAAAACGTCCTTCGCCCTGATTTAAATCGCCGCAGCCCAGGCCGACTCATCCGTCCGCCATTGACCATGCCAACTAAACTTGCTTCAGCCTCCTTATCAACGCCATTGAGACGTGTTTTCTGGGTCTTGGCAAGGGTACAGGGGGGCGGGTGGGATGGGCCTAGTGCTCCCCGGGTCCAATGAAGCCTCCGTCCCGGGACCGGCGGATCGCTGCCCACTATCTCATTCCCATTCCCATTCCCATTCCCCATCCCACGCGGCCCATCTTCCCGGTTACCCACAGCTATCCGAAGATGCTTGAGCTGTTTATTGTCCCTTCAAACCTCCTTCGTTAAAACATCCGCTTCCCCTCCTTTTTTCTTGTGTAGCCAAAGCTTTTCCGTCTCACGTTTCTTCGTACCTTGTGGCCGGTCATCTTACGTTGGATTTGTGCGACCTGTCTGTTAATCGAAACACGCAACGTCAGGAGACTCTCACCAGTCTACCTTGGGGCGCAACAACTCCTCTCCTCACCTCCCACCTGCTTCACAGAGAACCGTACCCGAGACTTAATGACTGAGAGCTGTACGATAATATTTACTCGAATGTCATCATGACTCTAGGTGTACCCGAAAACCAATAAGATAATATATATCACAGTATTCAACGCCTCCAACGCCGATATGCCATCTACACCGTCACATCCGATGCTGTCCGCCTCGTGGCTCGTTACTCCGACGACTACTCGTCTCGCGTGCAAAGACTCTCGATCCAGCGTGCCAGCTCTACGCTCTTGACGTCGACGGTTCTCCAAAAGACGTCGCTGCCCCAGACAGTCGGCACACCAAGCAAGACAATTCCGAGAAACCACGCCACGAGTCGCCCAATCACGCCAGTCTCGTCCCTACCGCCAACAAGCGCCCATACGTACGGCATCCAGCGATGCGAAAACACGTCGAGAACGGGTCCGTGGACAAGGTAAAGCGCGTAGCTGATGTCTGCGAGGTACTGCGCTAGTGGTGTCACGAACAGGTTCTGCAACGCTTTGATATGTTGCAAAGTAATGACAATCTGGAATGCGCCAAGGGCATACCAGGGGAAGGAGACGAGGTCGCCGCCCATGGTGAAGAAAGGCTCCATGGTGTTGTGCCAGAGTGGTGACATTCCCGGGGTGATGTCGGCCTTTTGATTCGGCCAGCCAGCCACAAACAGGGCAAAAACTAAGTTACCGACGAGAAAAGTCTTGAACACGCGAACTGCAAGGGAGCTTGAGGACGAGTCCGACGCAGTCGAGGATTCCATGTCGGATGCCTCCTTGTTCTGCAGAGCGGCTGCTTTGCGCTCCTGGCGAGCTTCCTCGATCAAACCGACCTCGGCAAGGAACATGCCACCCAGGAACTCAAAGCCGGCCCAGTGGCCGCACTTGAGGCAGTAGATCATGATGGAGAAAACCGAAGCGAGACGCAAGTACGTCTTCATGCGGCTCACGCCAGTGAGAACGACAAACAGGAGTAGCGAGTGGGAGAATTCGATGGGGATGGTCCAGAGGTGGACATCATAGGGCAGAATCTGGGTAATATCCCACTGCCAGCTGAAGGTAATCCTCCACACTGCGTTCTTCCAGTCCACCAGCTGCTCCCACAGTGTAGGCAAGGGCTGTCCCATCCATCCCAGGCGAATCATGACGAGGATCATGAAGGTAGACGCAGTGGTCGGCAGAAACAGGCGGAAACCACGACGGAAGACACTGCTTGACAGGGTGCGATGCAGTCCATCGTAGTCATGTTTCCTTGCCTGCTTCAAAGACTTGAGAGACAGAACGAAGCCCGAGATGATGAAGAAGATGTGGACCATGGGCCGACCGCTGAAGATAACGCGGAAGAAGGGCAATTGCAGCGGGGAGGAAGCGACATGGTCGTTTTCATCGGGAACGCCGTATGCCCTTGCTGTGAACCAGCCAACATGTTTCTCGGTGAAGTGGCAGAAGAAGACAATCAGCGATGCAACGCCGCGCAGACCATCGAGCCACGAGGTAGGATATAAGCGCCGGTGTTTGAAGTCGTTGGGTCGGAGTCGGCGCTGGACGAAGGAGGGCAGCAGGAAAAACAGGATTGCCGTCAATCGTGCGAACAGGGAGCTGGATTGCGCGGGAGGGCTCGAGCCACCAGGTGATGAGGGTTCTGAATTGGAATTGACGTTTCCCAGAGGGGAGTAGGAGTATGCGCTCGGGGAGATACGGGCGACAGCTCCCCGAAGGGAGCGAACGACGAGGGGGATCATGGCGATGATGATGGCTATGTCGTCGGCATGCCCTTGAAGAGGAGTTTTTCAAGGATTTGACGTCGGCTCAAAGGAGAGGTAGTGTTTGCGGAATGTGTAGTTGTCGGCGCGCTAGTCTTAGGTATCGTGGGCGGGCTGGCTGTCGGTTGAACGTGGACTCGATGAACGGCGGATCGTGTGAGGCGTCGGATGTCACAATCGACGTGGCTCGGCAGAGTTCCAAGACCACCCAGACAGACGGACCACAGAGTCAGCGAGGTACGACTGAGGACGAGCCGGGAGCAGCCGGCAGTTCGGCGACGAGGCACAGGCGGAAGCGAAGAATGTTGACGATCTAGAAAGGTGCGTAGAAAAGGTTGAGGGAAAAGTTGAGGGGAAGGAAAGCTAGCCGTACCGGCTACACAGAAGAGGGAACTCGACTCGAGTCGACTCGAAATTGGGTTTGGCGGCAAAAAGGACGCCAGAAGGCAAAGACGGCGGGAGCTTGGCGAGCTTGGCGTTGCGTTGCTCCTTGACAGATGGCGCTAATCTACCCAGGGACAAGGGGGTAAACCGCCAAAACCGCAAGGGGGGAATAGGCCGCTGGTTGGAGATGTCGTACGGATACTCGTGGGTGTGTGCAGGATCGGAATCCTTCTTGCAGGTCGGATGCGTGCTCAAGTGGGAATGGCGGCTTACTGACGCGGGCTGTTGTGCTAGGCCCGAAAAGTGAGTGTTGGAGAAGGGAGGGACTCGGGGAAGGCGGCGAGTGGATGGATAAATGAGCGAGGATTCCCCTTTTTTTTTTTCTCTTTCTTTCTTTTGGAAGCGATGTTGCTCAGAAGCGGCCGTTTGTTTTGATCTGGAGCATTCAGTGTTCAATGCAGGTGGGCAGTCAGAGATGCGATGAATTGCGGCACAGCTCGTGTTTGCAGCCTGACTTGCAGTGTCTGCAATGGCGAGAAGAACGCGCGAATACGCAGTGCCCTTTACGAATACAACGACAAAAGCTGCATTGGATTCCGAGGTGCTTGCCTCGTCTTCGGGTAGGTAGGTACGAGATAGTAAGGCAAGATGAGATGAGATGAAATGAGATGGGGAAGCTACGACTCGCTCAGATTATCCCACTACGAAGCGTCGAGAGGACAGAACAGACGGGAAACGTAATGGAAGGTACCTAAAGTAGGAACAGACAGTGGAAGGGAAAGAAAACCTTTGCCTCAATACTACTTACCTTACTAATTGAGATATTGTCCCCTTTGCATTCTCTTCCTCTTTCTGTTCTATTGACCTTGGTGGTGCAATTATTCTGAGGCAGAGGATGAACTCTATAAGAAAATAGGAAACAGCTGTTGTGTGGTGCTTCCCCAGACATCTCCACCCATCTGCTCCTTCCTTGTCTGATGGATTACAAGTACGCCCGGCGTTGCCCCTTCTGATTTGAGTTCTGGGCAGCTTCCCACCTTCCCACCTTTCCAAGATCCATCCACCGAGGCGGGAATCCACTGGTGGCTCCTGCTTCCCGAGTCCACAGACCATATACCTGTAGCGGTCCTCATCTCTGGACTCTGGAGACCCTGAGTCTAAACTCAAAATGTCCTTAGCCGATGCCACCCTCAAAGTCAATCTCCATTCTCATTCTCTAATTTCGTAACCTTCCACCCAGACACGTCAGAGTAAATGAAATATCATCTTGGTTGTCAGCCAATTTTCTCACAGACCTGAGTTTTTATGCGTGAAGCTGAGTACCTGAGAGAGAAGTCTTGACGAGGCTGATAGATACTCGTTGAGCACATCATGATGACTGGAGGAAAAGCCAACAGAAGAGAGGAAGGTAGCGCGCTTGGGTACGTGTTATTCGTACTTGCCCGGGCGGGTGATCCTCCTTCCCAGTTGAACTGAGGTGACCCGCTGAGACGAGGTACCTTACTTAGGTACTTGGGTTTGTACCTATCGCCGCCCATCTCGGGCAGGCACTCAGGCAACCCAGGCTGCTAGGGAAGGAGAGGCATGGAGGCAATTGAGTTTCACCACCGAGTTGTTTGCAGTGAATACCTAGGTAATTCCCAACTTCAACGACACCCCACCCATCTCCGTCAGGATGTTGCACTTCTTCATGATCAACAATGGACAACTTGACCCGACCAATGTCAAATATCCCTACGGAGCCCGCTCTGCAACAGTCGCATTGCTTGTAATAGCGCCTCGACCCTGCGCCAACGATACCGACGCGTCCCTCGCATTCCTCCAGACCCGGCCCCAATCCCCTTTTCATGCCTCATACCCGAGAACTGCCTTGGCGACCCAGACATAACAACTCGACGTTCGCTGGTGCAGGCTATCAGCGCAAACAGAACCCCAGCGCCGGACTTAGGTGGACCTACGGATACTGTCCACTGCATTGAGTCGGCTTGCTTCAGCCATAGCCATTTCAGACACGCTCTGTTCGAGATGGGTCACCCACGCCATCATCTGCCACTCCTGGGCCCTCAAGCACTACCACCATGCCAAGACTTGACTTCCGCAATACCTCATGGGTATAACTGGGAATATGTCATTCAAACTTTTCCATAGGAAATATTCTCTCTGTCTTGTTAGACTGACTGACATTTGCTGAGCCATGGCCAAGCGCCTCATAGTCAGTCGCACACGATTATTCCTAGCCACCCTTCTCTCAACACTGGCCAGCAGTTACAAATAGCTACTAGACTCTGTCACGCTTTCTCGACGCCTGAAACGGTCTCAGGCTCTATAATCACTGTTGGGACTCTTCAAAACGCCATGCATGGCTAGAGAGAAACCAGCCACCATAGCCCCCAGCGGTATTGAGCAATTGGGGTGGCGGCCAGGTGGTCAACGTTTTGCCCGGAAAAGGCATCCTAGAAACCTGTCTCCCGCCGCACCATGTGCTGCACTGCACTTCTTCTTTGGCCCCCATCTGTCAACCGGCCTATGCAAGCAACTTACGATCCCTCGCCTCGTGTCTTCAACCTGAGCAGCCAGCTTTGCGTCATATCATAGGCCTCCCAGTCAGCGGCCAATTGATACAGACTAAGGTAGTGCCCACGCATCTGCTGCTTGTAAGCTGACTGCAGTCTTGAACGGTGTCATCCCGCACCGGCTCCCCCGAACTGCATGAAGCCGGCCTCTGTGGCCACGCACTCGACTGCTCGCCAGCAGGGTTAAGACAGGTTCGACAGGCACCATCTCAGCCCTATGAGTATACCTACTGACATGGCCTCCAGGACTGTCTGCTATAAGCGGGTTGCCCATAGTGCACTGGCCCCATCGCAACATCGCATTCCTAGCCGACTTGCACAGGTCAGCAACTGGCACTCGACTGGCTCTCAAAAGGCACGCGAGATGTTTGCCCATCATCACAATCTGAGTCGGACCATTGAGGCTACTATGCCAATCAGAATTTGCTTAAATTCGGCGTGTTCTGCCTCGTTCGAACCATTACGTTGTTTTTGTTTGTCAAGCTGGGAGACAATGCCTCGGAGATTTGAGTTCCAATTCCATCAACAAGCCTCTCATCAATTACCCCGGATTCCTTCCATTTCCAATCCGCGGAAAGGAACTGTCGACGGCTGCGGTAGCCCGTGTCTCAGACCCCGCAATCCAAGGGAGTGAGACCACCCCTCCCGACGGAAGGACTTGGACATCTCATCAAATAGTCGGCATTCTATGAGTCTCGTAGATTTGATCGATGCCGGTACGGTCCGGCCAGTCTTTGTGAAATGAGGCACAGGAGCAGACAGTAAGGGCACCAGATCTTTATCTTGTGCCCTTTTTCGGTGACGACGTCCATGGCGGGTTATCCTTGATCTTTGAGTACGACCAGTCATTCGCCAATGCGGATACTGTTGCACCGCCCAGCGGCACAGGACTATGTATGTACTCCGTATCGTCCAGTGAGATGGAGGCGGACGGCTGGAGGATCACTGCGCATTGGTCCCAAATGCCCCCACGCAGAAAAGAAATGGTGGTGCGCCTCTTATTCGACTGGCTTGCACAGAGTGCTGACACCCATCGCCAAGCAGTTGACTTGACCAAACGGGCTCTAGTCGACCTCAACGACTTCACCTCTTCCGCGAGCTATCGAAGCACGTTGGTGCAGAGTTGCAATATCTCCTCACACCGGGCAAACGCAGTGCTACCGTGCAGTTTGTCAATAACTCAGATATCAAGGCTGTTTCCGGAACACAGCAGAGCAGGCGGGGGCCCCTCCGGTAACATCGTAAGCACAGTTGCGGCCGCATAACATGTTCTCACCATTCCAACAACGGCCCCCCCAGCCGTGGTCAACTCCAACTGACCCGAGCCAAACCGTTCCAGGCATTATCAAGTCCCTGCAACTCTGTCAAAAACCGGGGACCGCCAATTCGCAATGCACTACCAGGCCCTAAACGGCCGGGAATGGCGTGGGCTTGAACAGGGTCAACAAGGCAGCTCCCGTGGAACATACGCATTACGGCAAATACGTCCGAGAATGAAGACAGCAAGTTACGAGCTAGATTGGTCCCTGGTAGCCTACGACATTATCACATGTTGACCAACTTCAGCAAGAGATCGACTCATAATACTTGTGGTATCCGTAGGTGTCGCGCAAATACGATCTCATCTCCCCCGCCGGCGCCCATACATTCACCGAAATCCCGGCTGAGACAGAGTCATCGCTCCAACTGGCATGGCACCAAGAAAGGAGGCGGCCTGGCATACGAATCATCTCTTCGATGATTGGTCATTGGCGCATCTCGCTGGCCTCATCAGGAACTCATTGACTTCAGCTACTTCTCTAGTAGCATCATGTCTTGCACAGTGCTTGCTGTTTTCGTTCTCTTCTTGCTCGGCGGAAGAGGAAAGCTCTGCAACTCTTTGCTGCTTCTGTTGTCCCATCCACCATACCCGGAGTCGTAGGCAGGCACGCAGGGGACATTCAGCTGCGCCCTCGCAGCCCCCACGATGCAGAAGTCGGCCTGCGATATCAACCATTATTGGTTCGGCGCCGCACGACAGCAGGGGGGGTTCGTTGGTCCCTAGCTTCGCATCCCGGCCAATCGTCTCCCATGTTTAGTCAACAGACGCATTTCTTCATCACCGTCGACTTCTTCATCAGGCCAAGCCTGGTCAATGATTGGCGTACCTCCATAGTACCTCGGGAGCGAAGCCCTACAAGACGACCAAACTAGTAGCGGGAAGCCTAGGAATACATTTGCTTCATCGTCTTGCGCTATTGCCTAGCACAAACCCATGACGGCCTTGTGGAGCTTCGAGAGCTGACCTCAGCGCCAACGAGGGGACTAAACGAGAAAAAGTATCCCAGCCTGATCCTCAACACCATGTCGCACAGTGTCTACTGGCTCACCCGATTCCACTACGCCTCGTCATGGAAGGGGTATCTGTAATTCCATATCTGCTCGCCTCGGACAATGTTGTCCGCTGTCAATTCCATGGGGCAAGAAGCGGCCTGCTCACACACATATATGAAGGAACCCGTCGCCCCAAATCCGAGCCTGCCTGTGTAAACGATACCTTCCTTTTCCCTTCAAGTTCAACTTTTCTCTCTCCTTCAACTTGCAGTCGACTGGACTATCCGCCAGCATGTCTCAAGCCCAGGAGCAATTCCCCAAGCACCAGCCTCTCCTCACGGAGGTGTCGGAGAAGTTGGCGGCTGCTCGCAACCTCGTTCAGAAGTCCCTTGCGGCAGTCCCACCGCACCCTGAGCCAGTTCCAGGTACCGCTGCGCAGCAGCCTGTACCGACACATCTTTTGCAAGATGTCAAGAAACTCGGCTTCCAGGACTTCGAGACTTTGGCCGAATTCGGCATCACTGCTGTGCAAGGCAGGATCAACGACAATGATTTGCTCTTGGAGCACGTCATCCAGCTTTTCGCTAAGTTGCCTCGCGGCACCATCAATGGCAAGAAACTCGAGTATGGCTTGATCAACCAGCTTTGGGATGGTATCGACCATCCGCCTATGACAACTCTCGACGAGAAGTTCAAGTATCGCGCAGCCGACGGCTCCAACAACAACATCCACAGCCCGGCCATGGGCGCAGCTGGCACAGCATATGCTCGGTCAGCTCCGCCAATCACCTATCAAACCCCCAATCAGCCAGATCCCAGCCTTCTGTTCGATATGCTCTTCGCTAGAGGCGAGGAATTCAAGCCTCACCCCAACAAAATCTCAAGCTTCCTCTTCTACTTGGCTACCATCATCACTCATGATATCTTCCAAACCGTGAGACAATACCCCTCGCGCTGGTGAAACTCGGGTTGCTAATCGAAGACACCATAGGACGGCCTCAGTGGTATCAACAAGACATCCTCCTACCTCGACCTTTCTCCTCTCTATGGTCGCAACCAAGAGGAGCAGGATCAAGTTAGGACAAAGCTGGATGGAAGACTCAAGCCTGACACATTCTCTTCCAAGAGAGTCCTTGGTTTCCCTCCCGGCGTCGGTGTTCTTCTGATGATGTTCAACCGCTTCCACAATTATATCGTTACACAGCTTGCAAGGTTGGATAGTCCATCCCGAAATTCGATCTATACTAATGGAAATTAGCATCAATGAAAACAACCGATTCAACAGACCTCCTGGCGATGCCATCGATCCCGAGGCTGAGGCCCCCAAAAAGCCAACGGAGCCGGAGGAAGCCGTTCCAGTCGGTCACCCAAGATACCTGGACTGGATTGAATCCCCAGCCTACAAGGAATATACGAGCACCCCCGAGTACAAGGAATGGACCAGTTGGACTGCTTGGGTCAAATTTGACAACGACCTTTTCCAAACAGCGCGTCTCATCACTTGCGGTCTCTACGTCAGCATCGTCCTTCGCGACTACGTTCGTACCATCTTGAACATGAACCGCTCGCCTTCTAGCTGGGCGCTGGATCCCCGTACCACTGAGGGCAAGAGCGTTCTTAGAGCTGAGACCCCCGAGGGTACCGGAAACCAGGTCTCTGTTGAGTTCAACCTTATCTACAGGTGGCATTGCACCATTTCCCCCAAGGATGCCAAATGGACCGAAAAGGCGTTCCGCGAGCAACTCAAGATTAAGGGAGTAACCAAGGATGTCAAGGACTACACTCTCATGGAGTTTGGCCACGCTGTGAGGGACTGGGAGAGACGTATCAGTGATGACCCCGTCAAGCGCGACTTCGCCGGCCTGAAGCGTGGCAAGGATGGTGCGTTCCGCGAAGAGGATTTGGTCAAGATCTTCAAGGAGTCCGTCGAGGATGTTGCTGGTTCTTACGGCGCGAACAGAATCCCCGAGATTATGAAGCCAATCGAGGTGCTCGGTATGATGAACGCGCGAAAGTGGAATGTTGCCACCCTCAACGAGTTCCGTGACCACTTCGGCCTCACCAGACACCCGACATTTGAGGACATCAACCCGGACCCCGAAGTCGTCAAGAAGCTGAGATATCTCTATGGCACTCCAGACCAGGTTGAACTGTACCCTGGATTGGTTGCTGAGAAGGCTAAGCAGCCCATGTCCCCCGGAAGTGGGTTGTGTGGCGGCTTCACCATGACTAGAGCGATCTTGTCTGATGCGGTTGCCCTGGTTCGTGGCGACCGATTCTACACCGTCGACTACACGCCGAAGAATCTGACCAACTGGGGGTACGTATTTCTGATTTCTGTTGCGCAGATGAATTCGAATAGCCACTAACTTTTGCATAGTTTCAACCAGTGTAGCTACGATCACAACGTTGACCAGAGCCATGTTCTGTACAAGCTGGTGTTCCGCGCTTTCCCCAACTCATTCGAGCAGAACAGCGTTTACGCCCATTTCCCTCTCACAGTGCCCTCCGAGAACAAGAAGATTCTCGAGGACATCAACAGAGCCTATCTCTACTCCTGGAAGGAGCCAGTCACCAAGCGCAACATGATTCCCATCTTCTCCCACAAGGCTGTCAGCGAGATTCTGTACAACCAGACAGACTTCAAAGTTGTCTGGGGCGATGCCATCCGTCACCTGGTCGCGCAGCCCGGCAAGGAGCACGGCAAGGACTTTTGTCTGGCTGGCGATGGCAAGGCCAACACACAGAACCGCACTCTCGTCAGGAAGGCTTTGATCACGGGTCCTTGGGAGAAGGAAGTGTTCAAGTGGTATACTCATATGACGCCTCGGTTGCTGGAGCAGAACAGTTTTGCCATTAGGAAGGGCGTCAGGGAGGTTGATCTTGTTCGGGACGTCATCAACTTGACAAACACACGATTCAATGCCGCCCTCTTCCACCTGCCCATCAAGAACGAGGACTCGCCACTGGGTGTTTACACTGACCAGGAATTGTATGTGGTTGTCGCCACCCTTTTCCAGTCTGTTTTTCTAGATGCGGACATTGGCAACAGCTTCAAGCTGCGGACGATTGCGCGAGAGCTCGGTCAAGGTTTGGGCAAGCTCATGAGCCTCATTTGCCTGACCATCTCCAAGGCCGGTTTGATCACGAATATTGTCGCCAAGATCAGAGAGGGAGAAGCCTCGCTTCCCACCTTTGGAAATCATCTCATTGAGCGCCTTCTTGCTGACGGCAAGGACATTGAAGAGGTCGTTTGGGGTACCATCATGCCAGTCGTCACCGCCAATGTTACGAACCAATCGCAAGTCATGGCTCTTTGCATCGACTACTACCTTGGAGAGGGTCACGACCACCTGAAGACTCTTTACAAGCTGGCTCATGAGGATACACCTGAGGCGGATGAGAAGTTGATGAAGTAGTAAGTCTAACCTAAACACTTCCTGCATGTTGGAAATTCCTCTAACGTTGTCTCAGCATGTTGGAGGGTTGCAGACTCCGCGGCACCGTTGCTGTTTACCGTGAGGCCGTTACTACCCAGGTCATTACCGACTACGCTCCTTGCCTCCTGGACCCCAATGACCCGACCTCGCGCACGCCCAAGATCAACGACGATATCGACGGCACCAAGTACGAAGTCAAGATCCCCAAGGGCCAAAAAGTCCTGTGCAACCTGATGACGGCCGGTCGCGACCCGACCATCTTTGAGGCCCCCAATGAAGTTCGTCTCGACCGCCCTCTCGAGTCGTACGTCCACTACGGTCTCGGCCCCCATTGGTGTGCTGGCAAGGAGATCAGCCGCGTGGCGCAGACGAGTCTGTTTAAGCAGATTGTTGGACTCAAGGGACTGAGGAGAGCCGACAAGACGCCTACTGGAAACGGAGGCCGTGGGAAGCTCAAGAACATGCCTGCCGGTGCCTGGCCCGGCCAGGTCGGTCTTCCTGTTGGCAGCAACCAGAACGGCGCCAGCAAGAAGGATGAGCCCTGGCTGGGTCTGCGCACCTTCATGACGGCCGATCAGAGCTCATACTGGCCTGTGCCGACGACGATGAGAATCGAGTGGGACGAGTAAGAAGGGAAATTGTTGACTTGATTTGTACGAAAAAAGGGTGTAGGATTATTCATGATGGAGTACTGTATGAGACTGGGTACCGATTACTTGGGTTTAATCAAAGATTCCTTAATTGGCTTTCCATCGTCGTGATCAGTTGCAAGTGAGTTAGGTAGACTTTGACCAGTGCCCGAAGAAACAAGGGACTAACGACAAGGAACAACTAAGCCTGTCTAATTCATGTATTCGGATGGAAACTTTTGGTTTAATAACAAAATCAGTACATAAAGCAGGCTGAGCACCATGAAAACCCCAGCACCGTAACCACTACTCGGCACCTACTCTGTAATGAGATAAGGAGTCACAGCATGAAGTATCGTAGCCAGTTTCTCCGCAAAAGATCCATTTTCATTGCATCATCTTGAACATGAGAGAGATACTTTCTTTTGCCCTTTGACAGACTCCTCCCAATAAGTCCCAATATTTTTGACCGCGCAGTCCAGCTGTGTTGACTACCTATGTGCCACTACCAACAAGAAGTACCTGCTAGGTACCTTGGGTGCAGGTGTCGATTCCTTGCATACATGGGGCGGCTGACTCTAGTTCGATTCTGGAAAGGGAGAGAACCTTATGTTTGGCTTTTTTTTTACGACCGGTCATCCATGTGTTGGGCCGAACTCATTTCCTGCACGTTGCCGATAGCGGATTGATTAATGCCCGGACACGGCAGTACCAATATCTCTCTCAATTGGCAATGGTGTACGTATGTCTCTTGCCCATAAGTCTAATCAATTTGTCGCAATCGAAGGATAGTCTTTCTACAATTGTCATTACGACTAGCATCCTTAGCACTCAACGGAACGTTAGAGTGTCTTTACATGTACGTTGGTGTCATGGACATACCAGCCGCAGCCAATGCCCTCGGCACACTTGGGGCAGTAAGTTCCCGTCGTCACTAGAGGTGAAATAAGAAGTACTCACACTCTGCAGGTCTGCTGGTCTATTCAGGTGCGTTTCGGTCGGATTGAATTTTTTCGGATAGCGTCCTGACGGTCGGCCGTTGCGTAGCTTATTCCACAAATTGTCATCAATTACCGACGCCATAATGCTACCGGTCTGCAGCCTTCGATGATGATGCTCTGGGCGTGGGCCGGCGTTCCGTTGGGCGTCTACAATATCGTCGAGGACTTCAACATTGCCCTGCAGATCCAACCCCAGATCTTGACATTCCTAAGTCTCGCTACTTGGACCCAGTGCTTCTACTACCAAAGAGTAACATCTCCCATACGATTCCTCACCTGAAATTGCCTTACTCACCTCATTCATAGAAATGGTCTATCCTCCGCTCTCTCGCTGTCGTGGCCCCTATCGCAACCGTCATGGCCGGAATCCAAGTCGCCCTCGTCATTGGCCTCCGCATTGTCAAGGCCCGCGGCACAGATTGGCCCATGATCCTCATGGCTTCCCTCTCCGCCGCCCTCCTGGCCGCCGGAGTACTCCGACACTACTGGGACATCTACCTTCACCGCACCGTTCGCGGCATCTCTTTCATCTTCGTCAGTATCGATGCCGCGGGCGACGTATTCTCTCTCGCGTCCCTCTTTTTCCAGCGCCGGCTTGATATGTTGGGGGTCGTCATTTACGCCACTGAGTTTGTGCTCTGGTGCGGGGTGTTTGCGTGTGGAGGATACTTCAATTTGTTGCCCTGGGCGGGGAAGAGATTGCGGGCGAGGGAGGAGGCTGGGAGGTCGAGTGAATTGGAGTCGCCGGGCTCAGATGCTGTGGCCAACGGCATTGCTTTGCATGATTTGCCTTCTTCGACGTCCGTCTTCCGGACTGCGTCCGGAGACGATTCTGGGCTCCGATCTAGAACGGTGGCTTCGCTGTGAGCCCGGAGAAAGCCGACTAGACCATTTAATGCAACGTCTGCCGTGGAAAGCCGAGACCAAGGCAACTCTTCGCCACCTTCATAGGCGTAAGAGACGGTATCAACGCCATCGATGTCCCGGTGGAGCGCCGGGTTGGGGCAACACCAAATCCTAGCTTCTTCAACGAGACCGTATCTGTATGGTTTGGCAAGAGATGTTGTATACTAGTACTGGGGTTCTCAGCACAGGTACTTAATAGGTCGGTACTAGCTCTAAAAGCATTGTATTTTAGCTCTATAGTATTACTGGTTCCTGCAGTACATTGCATTTCCCTCAAGCAATCCCTATTTATTTTCCTATCTTGGGTTCTGTACCTAAACAGCGTGTATTATTCTACGAATCGAATGCTTGAAACCCGACTTCCCAGGCCCATACACTTCTTCTTGTGCCTTCTCATACCGGATTGAAGCGAATTCCGTTTCAAAGTCCATCTCGCCTACCGCAATCACTCGAGACTTGAGATAGAATTTGAAGAAGATGTACAGGACTTGTGACACAGCATTAGCCCATGACCACGGTGTTGAGGAAGGGAGCAGGCAACTCACTTGCAAAGATGAAGACATTGAGATAGCATGTCAAGAACCCCGAGGCGGTAAAGTTTCCGGTTGTGAAGACGTCGAAGCCTGAATGATGGTGTGAGTTGGGAATGACTCGAAATGCTGCGGTGGTAACACGAATATTCGCGGAGGCTTACCTGAAAAGAAGACAACAAGAACAACCATCACTAAGGCCGCCCATGATATATAGGGCTGCCCAGAAACCTTGTATGGAAGCTCTATTTAAAGGTGTAAGCGTAGCATGCACAGTGAACGGTCATCACGAACAGTCTCTTACCATTTCTAGAGTAGCCTTGTGCCTTGAGCCCAGCGAAAAACCGAAGATACGTGATCTCAATCACAATCCAACCGATTAGACCGGCAACCGTTGTAATGTTGACGAACCATCCAAAGACGACAGAGGTGTTGTTGGCCACGTTGAGATAGACAAGCGGCATGAGGACGCAGGTCAACCCTACCGCGTAGTGAGGTGTCCCGAACCTGTTGCAGCGCTGAAGGACCCTAGGCGCGTGCCCATCGCAACTGAGACCGTAGAGGGTTCGAGACGCGATGAAGACGCAGGCGGAGCCGCTGCTAATGGCCGAAGTGCAGACCACGGCGTTGATGATTGACGGCAATACAGAGACACCGGAGCGGGTGAAGGCGATGACGAAGGGGGACTGCTGGGCGGTACCGGTCGAGATGCTGAGTGACCGGTCGTTGGATGGCCTTCTTCTCGTTAGACAAGTCCCTCAAGTAGTGTCCCTACACAGATACGAGCTTCTTACACAATCATTCCCACAATTAGAATGCTAAGAACATAAAAGAAGAATACGCGTAAGAAAGTCTTCCTCGTAGCCGCTGGAATGATTTTTCTCGGCTGCCGAGTCTCGGAGCCCGAAATAGCAACGACTTGAATATTGCCGTAGCTGAAAGCCGCCGAGAGCAAAACTTTCCAGAAAGCCAGAAAGTTACCAGATGAGCCGGTGACTAGATAGCTGTTGAAGGCGCCGGGGTTCTGCCAGTATCGGAAACCTATACGGTCGCCATTGGGGCCGCCACCGAGATCAATAACTAGGCCGCCGATGATGAGGCCGATGATTGTCATGATCTTTAGAGAAGCGAACACAACTTCGGTCTGTTTGTCTTGTAAGTTGCAGAGTTCTTTTGAGTTGAAGAGTGGTATCTTACTTCACCGTATAGCCGGACGCCGCAGAAGTTGACTGTGATGATAAAGACCAGAAAGATTGTGATCCAAACCCCTCGGTTGACGGAGGTATTCCAGAACTGGATTAAAGTTGCAGCGGCGCTGATCTCAGCAGGAACAGAGATCGACATGGTGTACCCTATTCTCAAGTCAGGACTGTGCTTAAACTATCAGCACTTACAAAGCTCATGGCTTTGCACTTGAACTTACAAAAGTTCCAACCAGTGGCTGCACCGAGTGCTGGCTCAACAAACTTGGTCGCATGTCGAATGAAACCACCAGTCGACGGCATGAAGGACGTGATCTCCCCCGTCGTATACGAGACGCCGGCGGTGACGAGCCCCATAACGATGTAGGCCAAAAGTGCTCCGGCGGGGCCTGCAGTGGCTATGGTTGTACCAGAGCTCAAGAACAAGCCCGTTCCCTTGATCCAGTATCAGGCGACAAATCATCCCACCAAATGGTCGATACTGAGTAGACTCACAATCATTCCCGCAATTGCAATCATGTTAATATGCCGAGACTCCAAGTCACGCCTGATCCCCTCACCATCTCCGGGGATAGAGGTGCTCTGGCCGGAGCCGGAGTCCACTTCGGGAGTTGCACCAGTAGTGGTCTCGCCCTTTTCCTTCCCCTCCATGATGGAAGAGTTGAACAGAATAATAAGGATCTGTAGGGCTCAAATAGGATGGCCTCGTAAATCTATTGAAGTTCCAGGATGCATCTCGCTGCGACTTCTTCCGAGTAACAAGACGGGTTGATCAACATTATGAATGACACAAGTGTAAGCACCCAAAAGTCGGTCCTGATAACGCCCCCGGAGCTGCCATTCAGGGTCGTAGGATATCCGCAGCCAATCGGGCGCTGGGTCGCTGTCAACGATCGACTTTGAGTTGCCGGTGCCAGGATCAAGCTTCGGTTTGAGACGCCGGCCGGTTGATAAGCCCCGTTGCGCGTGAGTGCGGGGATAGAACGGCTTCAAAGATTGGATAAAAGCCTGGGGAACGCGATCCCTGACTTGGCAGCTCTGTCACAGGGCATTCAACGATAAGACTTTCCTAGGTCAAGCATCATGGCACCCATTTCTTCTTCAAGTTCCGAGGACGCCTTTCAGTTATTCGACCTGCGGGTCGAGGTCGTCTGTCCACCAGGCAAGAGGATTATGTGTGGTGCCAAAGAAGGGGATTACTTCACGCTGAAGGGTGAGATGTTGCATTTGCCACCAGATCAAGGCATCAGCATATACAGCTTATGTACGCGAATACCGACCCTATCTACTCCAGAGTCATAATTGCTGATTCTCGAAAACAGCATCGGTGCTACCCCTACTCGCTGCAAAGCAACGAGTAACTGCCAAGAACGACTGGATGACAACCGATGCGTTGATCGCATGCCCGGATCCCTGCTGTCCTTCCCAGCTGAAGATTGTCCGAGAAGGCATCAGAACGTTCCGTCACTCAGAGACTACTGCCGTTCCTTTGAGCAACGCCGATGCGCCCAAGTAGAAGTCTTACACAGACACACGTACTCAACCTCATCTTGGTCTTATCGATGTTCAAGCAAAAAATACACCATCTTGAGTATTGAAACCAGCTTCAGCCATGAGTCCAACCCAGGTCTCATCATCTGCGAAATCCAAACTCAGTGCGCCTTCCGCCTGGCCGAAAGCTCGACCTGAAGTTGCGGCATACCCGATCTCGCGTGTCGTGTCCCGCTCGCCAGCCCGAAGCTGGTCACGATGCTCAGGAAGATCTGTTACCGTCGACGCCTCGGCTGAGGGCTTGGAGATTCTAGCCAAGATGTTGTCGAGAAACCTTGACTGAAGTGCGCAACTCGAGCCCGGCGGCGCAGCTTGCTGGGAGAAAACCAAGGCTGCACCCGAAATTGCACTTTGAATGGCTGGTTGAATTTGGCCGGCGATGGAATGGGACGTAGATAGCATGAGCTAGATTCCAGTCAGCCTTCAAATAAAGAAGAACAGTAGAAAGTTTCCCAATGGTCTAACCTTGATCAAGAATGCTGCACTATAGGCAGTCATCACATGAACAGAGTCTTGGGTAAAGTAAAGCCAAGAAGAGTGACGGCAGATGAGATGCAGCATCTCCAGGGCACTTGAGTAGCTAACCCAGAGAGCCTCCATATGGTAGGTCATGTTTGGATCCGACTGTGCTAAGATGTCCTGTAATGGCAAAGAGAACAGTTGTAACTTGAGATGTGTGCCATAGAACTGGATTAAAAAAGGATGGCAGCTGTCTAGTTGGAGGCTTTAGCTAGCTAACTTTCACGGCTTGGGGTTTGAGCATACCTGTATCTGCGACCCTGAGCCACCTCGACTCCCACTCCTCGATTCTGCTCTTGATAATTGCAAGGAGAGATTCGAGACTGTGTAGTTGTCTGGCGCGAACTCGACTTGACCTCGGTCCCAGTAGCCTGAAAACCTCTGAACTCAACAGTCGTAGTGTTACCAGCGCACCGAGCAGGCAATCACCAGTAGTAGCCATTGCATCTTTACACCATGGCTCAATAGACTCGATGAACTCACTTCGTTCAATCATCCACGGCTTTCCAGTTTGTAAGCTCATGCTACGCCCTGTTAGCTCTTGAGCTACCATCTTCGCTCAGTCTTGATCTCCATCTTACCTTCGATCGTAAACAAAGAGAATCAGCCAGGTTCTCTCGATGTTCCTGGCTTGACGTCGCTCCAAGTCCATGGCCGCGTTTGATTGCGGCGAATAAGGAGCCAGCCGATGCCAGCCCAATTCCATGCCCATCCTGATCACGTATCCCAGGAGCATCCAGGCACGTGTGTCTTCAGACTCTTTCCAATAGGTCAAGATCATCACCGCTTGGGCAGTCTCAACTGATTTGGTTCCTTTTCTGAACGTAGAGGCAAGGATACCTTCTGCATGGTCGCGGAGTCTCTTGTATAGAGCAGGATTGAATGCCTTTGAGGCTGCGGATAGGATTGCCGTCAGAAGGAATGAAGACTCCTGTCGGATCCGGCTGAAGGTGTGCAGGTACGGGTCCAATTGGCTTATGTATGGATTGAGAGATTCCATGAAACTATTCACAGGTTACTCTTGTCCTGTCGTGGCGAGAGCGGAAAGGGAGAAGCTAGAGACGAAGATGCTTCAAAGTGGCGGGGTGGAACAGGGTTGTGACAGGTGCGTTGGCATTCTTGAACTCACTTTTCGAACAGAGACGAGGCGATGGAAGAATTGAGGAGACCAAGTTGAATTGGATCATCTGCAGGGACCCGCGACTCTTCTTGCTGTGCCTCTGAAGTGGTCGATTCTGAAGCATTCAATATGCTTCCAAGTGAGAAACTGCCTCGAGTGGCTGCACGACTGAACAGCCCAGCAGGCTGCAGGCTTCCGTTGCTCCAGTCTGGACTTCGTTGAATTGCCTGCGCCAGTTCACTTCTCTCCTCAATCTGCCTTTGTTGTACCGACTGAGAAGAAGCGGCTGGTGCTGTCGAGATCTGGGCTTTGCGCTTGGGCGTGATTCTTGAACTGTTAATCGCTATAGCACTGTTTCTCCAGGTGGTACGCACCGAGTCCCTGGTTTTCTTCCACGGCGGTGATCTTGGAAAATGCACGTTAATGACTTCCGGGTACATCGATCGCAAACCGTTGCATCATCTGCGGTGATGCATTTCATCTTGACACTCCTGCATTGAAGGCACGCCTTGGAACTGATCGAAGGCATGTCTGTCAGTCGGCGCAGATGTTGCTGGCATCACAGACCGCTGCGTCTTACACGGGCTTGAGAAATGGCGATGCTTGGGTGTGTTCCATTGTGTATGCTGCTTTACTCCTGCTTTACTGTGCTAGATCGCCGGCTACCATTCGTGAAGTCAACACTAAGGATGACCGGCAGTTGGACTCGATAAGGCTAAGGGATGGAATTCGCCGGCTTCGGGGGTGCTGAGAACCCTTTTCGGATTTCTTTCCCTATCTTCACCCACTTTTCTCCCCGCCGTTCCCTGTGGTGTGACGTGGGTAAAGATAACCGAGTAATGAGCCGGCAAGCTACCGTCAGAGTCATTGATCGCCGATGGCTACTGGTAGTTGAGATGAATGCCGGCGTATGCTGGCTCGAAATCAGGGTTCAGCTTGTCCCTGCAGCAGCAGCAGCAGCATCGTCCATTTCGTTGGACACCGAAGAGAAGGCTTACATGGAAGCTGTCGAAATCGAAGACTGAAGAGAGAACATAAATTTTGTCAAGAGACCTTCAGAAACACATAGTCACTCACCTTCCAGAAGACAATACAAACGAAATGGCGGCAAAACCAGAGGGCCAAAGCGCCAAGACGGCGCACGTCAACATGATGACGGACACCATTATCACGAATCTCCCCGCTGCGAACCTACGGGTCATCATGCGCTCACTGTTGGCTGCGCACCCGGACGTCACCACAACTTTCGAGGCCGAAACCCGAACTTATGTCAGAGATGCAGCGTTGCTGTCAGCTCAAGGCGAGTTGTCTTCGGAAGCAACTTTGAGAAAGACTCAGGCAACAATTCGTTGCATGCTGGGATGCGGGCTCAGTCTTGAGAGCATTCCGCTCATGACCAGGGTGGTAAGGGGCGGCATTAAGCTTCTCGTCGATCCAGAGACTACCAAGGAGAAAACGCATGCTGTCTTGGCATCCGTGGATGGTGATATCGTCCAGATCATGACCGCCGTTGAGAAAAGGCTGCTATCTGCTGCGCGCGAAAGTCTGCTAGACGATGAGCGCGACGCCGTGACCAATTTGCACGAGTCTCTTCTCGAGTGCAGAGCCATAATAGAAGAGAAAGGAATGGAATATCCCTATACGAGGGCACTTTTTGCGACTTCAATGCTTCTTGGAGTGCCACTTCCAGTCCTCGATATGCCTTTAATCGGTACATCGGGCCTAATCGCATCTCTTGCAGGCCCTGTGGATGCGAGGGAGACGTTTGAGATGAATGGCTTCAAATTGCCTAGATTATTCACCGGGCTTTGGCAAATGTCTAGTCCATCCTGGGGCTCAGCACCTACATCCAAAATCATTGCCCAGTTCTCCAAGCACATGGAAGTAGGTCTTACAGCCTTCGATATGGCGGACCACTACGGTGATGCGGAAATCATCTTTGTGAGTCTCATATTAATACCATTTCCCCCGAAAAGTGATACTAAATGAGTTAGGGTCGTTTTCGTTCGGCGTATCCCTTCAGCGACTCGACGTTCGCAGCGACCAAGTACTGTGTCTTCAACCCCATGATCGTTACACGTGCCGCCGTGCAAGCCAACGTAGCTGAAAGGTGCCGGAGATTACAGACAGATAAGATCGACCTGCTTCAATTTCATTGGCAATTCGTAAGTAGCCATATAGGCCTGCCCGGAATTTTGATGGTGGCTAACTGAGGCCCCATGACAGTATGAGGACCCTCAATATGTGGAGGCGTTGCGATTTCTTGAAGAAGACTCGCGCGTCAAGGCTTTGGGGCTATGCAACTTCGATACTGAGCACATGCAAGTCGCCATCGATAAGGGCGTCAGAATACATTCAAATCAAGTACAGGTATACTGAACTTCCGCCAACTGAAAGGCTAAGGGGCTGAAACTGATGGGCCCTAGTTTTCGTTGATCGATAGCAGGCCCGAGGTCCGCATGGGCAAGGTCTGCCAGGAACATGATATCAAACTCTTGACATACGGAACACTGGTAAGCTGCAGGAGATGACTGGCATGATTCGTCCGCTTGAAGGCTAACAGCTGTCGATGTAGTGTGGTGGGTTCCTCGCCGAGAAGTGGCTAGGAAAGGGGCAGCCGGATCTCTACGACGAGGCGATTACGCCGAGCCAGCGCAAGTATTACGCTATGATCCGAAGCTGGGGAGGCTGGGATCTGTTCCAGGATCTCTTGAAAGTGCTTAAATCGATCGCGTCAAGACATAGCGTCAGTCTTTCCAACGTGGCCACTCGTTGGGTGTTGGACTTCCCCTACGTTGGGGCAGTTATTGTTGGGACTAGGATGGGTATCAGTGAGCGCGCGGATGAGAACCTGGCGAGTCTGGGATGGTCTCTAAGCCAGGAGGATCGAGACCTGATTGAAGAGGTATTGAACAGGAGCAGGAGGTCGGAGATGTTTGACGCGATGGGAGACTGCGGAGGGGAGTATCGCTAGTACTCAGTTGTTGATACGGGTCTTACTTAGGAGCCTTTCGATGGCGAGAAGAGTTTTATAGCTACCGTGAAATTATTCATCCCTGTTTTACATAAGACCCATCTGATTAGAGGCCCTAAAGACGAAGATAGTGTCTGGTCGGGAACTCCCTCAATCGCTGGCAGGGATGGGCACGTGAAGGGTATCAGAGGCAAGATCCTTGAAAAGTAAATGATTTACATTCTGTAAAATCACACTCTGGTAGATATTGATCTACCAAGTTCCTAAACCATGCTGCGTTGATTCGAGGGCAATCAATCTCAACATTATCCACTCTCAGGAAAAGGACTCTAGCCTCGGCTTAACTCTACTACCTGTCTCTCCTGGATACTTCCCGCCGAGAATCCCACGAGAACCTCATATTGACCATCTACAAATATCCAGGCCTCAGTCAAAGTGTCCCACACCATGAGATCCTCAATCTTCACCAACAACTCCACAGCCTTGGTCTCCCCAGCTTGGACCTCTACTTTTTGAAAAGCCCTGAGCAACTTTGGTGGCTCCTTCGCAGCGTCCGGGAATCCAACGTAGAGCTGAACGACCTCTTTTGCCTTGCTATTTCCTTGATTCAACAAGGTCGTTCTGACGAGTATAGCGCTGTAATTTGATGATACCTCCAATCCGGATAGACTAAAGTTAGAATACGTCAAGCCATGACCGAACGGAAATAACGGTTCGATTCCGCTCTGATCATAAGCCTTGTACCCCACATAGAGGCCTTCTTCGTAGGGCACTTCGATGTTGGTACTGATACGTATAGTGTCGTTGAGGTTCTTGGGGAAGGTCAATGGCAACTTCCCGCTCGGGCTTACATCACCGAAGAGAAGACGCTCTAACGCAAGCCCAACCTGTTGGCCAGGATACCAAATCTCCATGACGCCTTCGACTTGCTCAAGCCAAGGCATCAGAACTGCCGAGTTTGTGTTCAGGACCACGACGGTTTTCTTGGAAATACTGGCGAGCCGGCTGATGATCACGTCCTGGTCACCAGGTAGAGAGAGTCCAAGGCCGCTATCAGCTCCCTCAGATATCCGGTCTGAGGCGAAGATAAGGCTGATATCTGCCCACTTGGCCAGCTCGTCGGCAGTTGTGTCTCGGGTCTGGTTGCCGATGTCTACTCCAAGACTGATCCCATACGCACCAGTAGACAAAGAGTAGCCCATGTCGTATTCCAACCGAAGCTTGACCTCGGATCTCGCTTCAAGATACGCTGCGCCTTGGATATAGTTCCCAAAATTGGCATAGGACATGTTGGCCACGAGTTCGTCATCCAAATAGAGCATCGCAGTACCCTGACCATACATGGAGAAATAGTACATTCCTGTCGTGTTTGGAAGAAATACCGCCTCATAGACAGCCGAGAAAACGTCTGGATATGCTTGCCAGAGAGCTGTCGGATACGTAGCGATGGTAATGTTGGGAATAAGGTCGGTCATGTCGACAGGCCCGGTGAAGTCGGTTGTCTTGTAATACGTCACGTTGACGCCTCCATCTTTAAACATGTTCGAGGGAATCGTGGGAAACTGTCCAGTGCCAGGGTAAGCCATGGAGTACTTGGCTGTGATATTTTCTGCATCTCCTCGACGTTTGATCGCATCGAAGGGTGCTTGAACAACCATGGTAGAGTCAATAACAAAGCCACCGTGGTTTTCAGAGACCTGGTTCTCAGCAGTTGCTCCAATGCCAAAGACAGCAATTTTAGAATACTTTTCAGGAGAGAGAGGAAGGGTACTTTCGTCATTCTTCAGCAGAACTGCGCCCTCTTCAACCATTCGCTGCGCGAGATCCAGATGCTCCTGGGTACGTACGTGGGCCGTTGAGTCTCCAGTCACCGGATCGTCGACCTGTCCAAGCTTGAACATGTACCGCCAGACCCTTTGAACCATATCGTCAAGTCGCGCATGGGGTATCGACCCATTATTGATGGCTTCCACCAGTAGCTCGCCGTAGTAAGCAGGGAAGCCGTAGCTATCCGTCAAGTCTCCGCCGGGCATTGAGATGTCGAGCCCAGCCATGACAGCAGCAACGGTGCTTCTTGTAGAGAAATACCAATCTGCGACCACAAACCCTTCAAACCCCCAGTCTTGACGAAGAGTCTGGTTGAGGAGCCAGTCGTTCTCACAGGTGAAGAAGCCATTGAGTCGGTTGTAGGAGCACATGACGCTCGCTGCATCTGCCTCTTGCACACTGGCTTTGAAAGCCGGTAGATAAAGCTCATGCATCGTCCTTTCGTCGACCACCGCATCGACTGTTACCCACTCCGGACCGTTGCCGAAACGATTCGTATCCTGGTTATACGCAGCGAAATGCTTCGGGCACGCCAGAGCTCCTTGACTTTGGATGCCCATCGTACCGGCGACCGCCATACGGGCTGTCAGCCATGGGTCTTCGGACAGAGTTTCGGCAGCGCGAGCCCACAACGGAGAGCGAAGGATGTTGATGGTAGGCGCAAGGACGATATTGCGGCCTTTGCCCATGTGCTCTTGTGCGAGTGCCTGGCCAAACTCATACTGTATCGATGTGTCCCAGGAGCTCGCCGCGACAACTGGAGCTGGGAAAGCGGCCACATTATCGAGCGAGTTGCCGACACCGGCAGGCCCATCGCCCATGCAAATGCCGGGAATGCCAAGAGATGAGTTTCCTTGAATGTGCCCGATGCAGGCGTTGACGCCGGTTCCGTTATCTGTCAGCTACGGGTTAATTAGCATGAGCTCTCTCACTTTTCATGGGTAATATGGAGTTGAAAGTCTGACTTCAGTATCGCCTTGAACCATGGCATGCTTTTGGGTGTCATTTAGCTGGGCGATGAAAGACAGGAGACGCTCCTCGTAAGGCAGGGTCTTGTCGAGCCAGGGGTGGACCGCGGAGGCAGGTAATGCCAATGAGGCTATCCAAAATGCAGAGTTTACTCTCATCTTCATTCGCGTACACAACTCATGAGGGAGGATGAATCAACAAGAACCCGCAAAAACATTCACCGGCGTCGGTACACTTTCATACTTGAGAGCTCTTGCAGGTCCCTTCACCGTGGCTCCATCTCCCATCTTATCGCGTTACATCGCATATCATCACTTGATCAGCTTCTTTCAAGCTTGTTCAGATACCTAGCCCTGCATCGGTCATTAAGGGATGGTCTGGGGCAGTAGTAGAAGGCCGAGGTAAGTATCTTCCTTTACTTTTGAATGCCGGCGAAGAAGAAACTTCACCGATAAGCCGGTATCGTAGTGAAGATACTCTGGAGATTGCAGTGCGGGGTACATAACTAGCAGTTAAGAGAACGCGGAGATGACTCTGTGGGTCTGGCCATCAAAAAAACCCGGTCGAGAAATATCCTGAGAGAAAGCGATCTTGGAGATTCGACCCTGGTTAGTGGGATTAAGAGAACCTGTTCGTTGGCTGTCTGCTTCTTGTCAGCACACAAAACGGGGGGTTTCCGGTCGGAGATCCACACTTCGGCTTCGACAAGCCGGCCCTGAGGCCAGACACCCGGGCTCGCGCCGAGAGCTAATCGGCGGCCAAGGGGTTCCGTCTCGGGAGTAGCATTCTAGAAGACTGGAAGGACCACCCACGAGCTTGAGTTCGTTCAGACCTCGGTACTAGGACTAGAGCTGTAACATCTCTTGGATAGGATGCTACGCTGCTGACTTGCGAACCAAACATGGATGAAGCCCGCAAAAAGTATCGAGGCGAGACCGAGACGGGAAGGTCTGCTGGGGTTTGATATACCAGAAACGACACAGAATACTCAAGAAACCAGCAACAAACAGGCACAGGTTCCCTTTTTGGCCGTCCCGATGCGAAGGGGCGCGGAGTTGAGCAAGGCACGACTGGTTTGAATCTCGTAGACTGACACAAGGGTGACAAGCGATGGCTGCTGGCACGAACACTTTGACGCGCCGTGCGTACGGTGCTGCAGATCCGGAATCCAGTATATCGACTCATCCCTTCCCCCCTCGCGTTTCTAGCGCGGCAGAGTCGGTCGAAAGTCGGAAGTTTTCTCAACCACGGGCACTCTGATCGCTTCGTGTCTCCGTGGGGAATGTGGTCTAAGCCGCAGCTTGTTTCACCTGGATTCTGATACTCGTACAAAGATCTTTTCCCCCTCATTATTCGCACCAAAGGTTCAGATTGTTGAGTCTCCCTGCCTCTCTTGCAGACTACTGGGGAAGTTCTCTCGCTGAGACTCGAGACACATTGGCGCGGTTCGTCTACGATTACGGTTCTCATTCCACTCAATCTTCTTACCCTAGCACCCCCGCGGTCGTACGAGCCGTCGCGTAAGTGGTCCACCGCCTGGCCACACCCACTGAGCTGCGGGAGAGTAAAAAAAGACGAGTTCATACGAGACTACACACCATTACCAGTCTTCACGGAGACAACGCGAGGTCCTGCGGAAGGAATCTTGGCTTCGTACGCCGGGCCGCGGGAGTGAATTGAGTGTTTCCTGAATCGACTCGTGGGACACTACTGATTTGCGGGTCTCGGATTGCACTCTACCTGAGTTTTATTTCCGGGCGTCACCTCACCTTAGGCTTTCCAACTAACCCAAATTTGAGCGGAAGGCCGTGTGGAAGGCAGACTCTGACTTACACGCTAGGCCATCGTCAGTGCCGCACATGAAGCTATGCATCGTGAAGACGCCAAAGACGGCCCGTCCTTTACGTCAATCAACCGGTCGGTCATCTGCCATCAGGCTTAAAGAACGTGCGATATCCAACGTATACTATCGCTTTGAGAATGAGAAGAGGCCTGAAAACAGTTTGATAGGACCCTCGAAGAGACCCTTCACACACAAGGCAGATGGCCGGCCGACCGAGGAAGAATTAAGCTCGCACCGACGAGCGGTCTGACCTCTGCCGGCGTATCCCGCTCTCGTTAACAAATCCTGCGACGGCTGGCCTGGATGATCCCAACAACCCCCGGTTGACTTCTCGAGGAGCTTTTTCCTATCAGAGGCCTGGAGAGAACTCCGCAGCAAAGCAAGTCGGAAGTTCACAAGCGAGAGGTTTGTCTTCTTTGGTAGTGGTGCCGTGGGGGATCGCCAGATCCGCCAGCGCGGGAAGAGAGTTGAGCAGGGATCCGTCCGCACGTTTCACGTTTCACTTCGGCGAGCGACGTCGTGTCAGGCTGTGCTTGGAAGGGGGAGGCTCATGGGCTGGAGAGTGTTTAACACCCCAGCTTCGGGGACGAATCCGTTTTATATCTTTGTTTTAAAATAGCTCCGCCGCCCGGTGGTGGTGTTGGTTGTTTGGCTGAGGGGCAATTCGAAGAGGCTTGGCTGCTGAGAATGTCGAAGAGAAGACGGAGCCCCGCGCCTCAAATATCAGTCGAGCAACGCATAGAGAGCTCGAGGGTTTAAGGTAGTGCACAGCCTCCACCATCGAGAAAGTGAGGCTTGAAGGAAGGCCAGATACATCGTCAATATTGCCCGAACCCGCAAGTACGGGTCGAATTTGCGGGCTACCCGTCGAGCTTGTGTGAAATAAGCGCCGGACCTTAAACAAGGATGCCATCCCCCATGTTGACGATCAGCCTCAAAGGTTCATCCATCGGCAATGGGATGCGGGTCACGCCGATTCGCGCGATGCGAGTGGCCGAACAAAGTCATTCATATCCCATCCTGCCTCGAATCTGAGTAGGCCTGCCGTGCCAGGTACTCTTCCTGATCCATGCATTGACGTCAAGTACAAAGACAGCAGTCAATGCGAATAATGGCCAGAGGCATGCCCCGGTCGAGGAAGACGTGATGGAGGGCCAGAAGAAGCGTCGAGTCGAATCTTCTTCCTCGGGCCTCTCGCCCCCTCCTCTACCTCCCACTCCCCCAAACCGTACGAAGGTGGGCAAATAGGTACGGGGGTGAACCGTGAGTAACTTGTGAGACGGATTACGCTTTTGGGAAGTCGATGAGCTGAGATTTCATATAATGTTACTGTCTGTGCGAAGGTTGTTTTGCCCCTCCCGTATGTGAGGGTCTGATCTAGTCTGTGCCAGTCTATAAGCCTCCGAGATCCTTCTTCCCTCACTTGCCTTCCAGTTCTCTCATGCTTGCTGGCCAAACACGTCGATATACCCTCCGTACGCTATACACTTGAATCTCCGGAAGATCATCACCATCAACACCAACTACATTCACAACCCCCGGTATCCTCGACCGACAAGATGAAGTTCACTACCGAGATCACTCTCCTCACTCTGGCTATGGGCGTCTTCGCCGAGCCCCCCACCAAGGTCGTCGCCGAGCGTGACTTGGCCACCATTCAGGGCGTCATCCAACAAGTCGGCAACTCACTGAAGGACCTCAACAAGGCTGTGGAGGGCTTCAACGGCGACCTCAGCGGCCTCGCCGGTGCTGCTGGCGCCTTCACCAACACCCTCAACCAGGGAACCCAGCAGGTTATGGGCACGAGCGAGATCACCCTCAACGAGGCTCTCCAGCTCCAGCAGTTCGTCTCTGGACTTCAGAGCGACGGCAACGCCCTTACCAAGAACCTCGAGAAGAAGAAGCCCGAATTCGAGAAGGCCAGCCTTTGCGGTATCATCTCCTCACAAGTCGGCTCCGTTGGCGATGGCGCCAAGAAGCTCATCGATACCGTCGTCACAAAGGTTCCTCAGAGTGTCCAGTCCGTCGCCAGCCAACTTGCCGGCAGCTTCGCCACAACACTCTCATCAACCCAGCAGTCATTCGCCGCAGGCAACTGCACCAACGCAAACGGCATGGGTGGCGGCGGCAACGGAACCTCCAACAACGGTACACCCAAGACTTCCTCCCCGGCCAAGGCCAGCGCTGCTACCCTCTCCGTCGGCCTCGGCTCTATCGCCGCGGCGGCGTTTGCTGTCATGTTGCTGTAAGCGGGTTTGGCGTGGAGATGGGATCGGAGTTTGGGGTTTGGACCGAAGATCAGCGGAGGATATGTGGGAGATTTCAAAACTTTGTCTATGATGGCCTTTTTTCCTTTCTTATAGGCATGCTGAGAGTTGTATCATACGGGCTCAGGTAGACAATGCGAAGCCTGCTTCTTTGCACATTAAGTGTACGCTGACGTCTACCTTACCTCCTACGTTGCTGATAGGTTGACTATTACAGAGTGTCATGTGGACTGCGGTAGCTAAATCACATCGGCGGTTTACGTGTATGGGTTAGGCTCAATGCACGCGTTGAGGCGTGAAAAATTCGCTGTATAACCCTGAACCTTTGTCCCCATCTGAGGACCGCAGACAATCTACTACTTGTTGGTTGGTGTCGTTGCTCACTCTATGAACCAACTTGCCTCCTCGTTACCGTCCTCCTCCTCATCTTCCACCTCGTCAAGACCTCTGGCGATGGGCATGTGCCCGATCCAACCTGAAGACATATCGTTCAGTGTCTCCTCATCGATAATCATCTCGTCATCGGCCTCGTCATTCTGTGGATTGCTCTGTGAAGCGGTGGGTTCGCTCTCGCTCTCCTTTGACTGCTCGGCCACGATGCGAAGATACTCCTGATATTGAGAATCGCTCATCAATTCGAAGTTCGACCATGAGAGATCCACATAATCGTCAGGAACCCCGACGGGTTCCCAGAGACTTGCTTCAAAGGTGGCGGCATCCTCATTCTCGCGGTCGTCATTGTGGGACTTGTCTACAACCGGTTGCTTTGGAGTTAGGCTTCTCGGTAGCAATGCCCTCACCCTTCTCAAACTCGGCGTTGGGGGGCATTTCATCGACCTTGCGTCGACGCCCTATGTTCATAAGGTTAGATTCATCGCCCTCGTAGGCCTTGATGAGCTTTTCTGCCCACATGAGGTATCGGAAGTGGGCATGATTCTTGACCACGAGGAGTGCCTCATCAAGATCAGTCTTTGACAGCAGCCCCAATTTCCCAACCCCATAAACCTGGATACTCGTGACTTTTTGAATGAGATCCCATCCCTCCAGTCCAATCAACCTTCTCAAAAAGTCTACCCACGTCGTGGAGTCTGCCGGTAGACCAAGGAAGGGGCTGATGGGATTGCCAAAAGCAGAGACAAGATCTGCTTCTGCAATTGGCACCGATTTTGCTCCCATCTTCGCAAAGATCTCGTGCCAGACATCTATGGCCTCCCTAACTGGTTGTATGGCATCCTCGAAGTCTTGCTTGGCGACAGGGTATCCATCTAGCATTTCTGCCAAATCCCTCAGCTTGGTCAGAGATTCGTGGTATCAGTTGTCACCCGACAGCTCCTTATCGAAGAGCTCCTTCAGTGCCTTGATATGCTGGTCGGCTACTGTTTTGGATTTCTTGTTAGAATCGTGCGAGACTTTGCCATTACCCGACCACTTCCACAAAGTCTTCCCTTCGCCCGGCTTCAGATCCACTGGATCAATTCCCTCCCACCAAGGAAGGCACCATTCAGCGTCTAAGTAGATGTCGTTCCACTGTACACCGGCTTCGTGCGCTTTGGAAAGCTGTAGTACCATTTGTCTGCGATACTCGGGAAAGTCGTCCGGAAGAATACCTCTGCTCCATGGACGTTCTCTGGCAACATGTGATCCATTGAGAACTTGCCTTGAGGGGGTTTCGACAATGCTGGGGCGTGGCTCGCTTTCCTGCAGGGGCAGACGTGGTGTGCCGTCCAGAGAGGACGGGTCCCTTGTGTTGGCGTCAGTCATATTGAGGGTGTCGAAGAAGTGAGGATGGGATTCCTGAGTCTTGGGTTCGTCAGTACACCGAGCACGCCTTACAAATATGATACTCACGTGTATTTTTGATGAACGATTACTGGGGATAACCGGTCTATTGGTATGGAAGTAGGTAAAGCTGAAGGAGCTGAGCCTCTCAAGCGCGGAGAGGATTGGTGAACTCGTGAGGATATGGAAATGACAAGATATCTTCATCTTTGACATTAGTAGGATGTGTTGAAAAAGAAAAGGAAAATGAAAAACATACCTTGGAGTGCTTTCCTGCCAATTATTGTGTGTGTGAGGCTGGAAGGGGCCCGTTGACACCAGACTCCTTCTGTGGGTAGAATGTGAGGAGAGGAAGACGAAGAAGGAAAAGAAAGAGAGAAGACTCGAGTATTAAATCTCTGAGCCTTCTCCGGGCAGGACCTGAAGACCAATTTACACTATTCGAGGAAGGAACCACCCCACATTTCACCTTGAGTGAGAGAAGAGGGAGGGGGTATGGACTATAGTCTCTACTTGACAAGTAACTCTCACCTCGCTTTGACTAAAGAGACTGTTATCAATCTTCTGCCTCGAACCCCTATCTTGCCCTCAACCCGGGGAAAGTGAACAGTCTATATTGAGTACGCTTATTGCGATACGCGCAGCTTGACTTCTAAACACATTGCCAGATGACATCAATTCAAGGCCTAAGAGTTGTCCGAGTTGAGAGGAATGTTGTCTCTATCTTGCTGCTTGTTGAGGTTCAGAACCGTGCGCTTTAGCCGGGTGGAAGCAACTAGTTGAACACCACTATTTCTCTTTGCCGGTCTACTTACTCTCTGCTGTCAGTTTGGTGTCCATTTCCGTGATGGATATTGGTTGCTCGGGAACTGCTGTTCAGCTTATACAACTCTTGGTCTGGTTTCTCGGTCTTCTTGGTGATAGTGTCCTCATTCGTGTCAGGTTTGGCCTTGAGAGACTTGAAATAGTAAGTATTTTACCGTTGAATACTTTGCCTCGGTAGAGATCATTCATTCTGTCCCACTCATATGTAACTTTCTTACCTTTCTGGCCTTTATTACTCTTGTTATCTCTATTATACTTATGACTATCATTGCTCTAATTGTCATCCTTGTCGCATTTCTTACTTCTCATCTTTCAAATATTCACCAAAGATTGCTCTTGAAGAAGTGGGTTATAGTAGTTCTAATGATACTGGCGATATTAAGAACGAAGTTGACTTGTAACGTTCGACTGTAATGGTTCCATTGTTATCGAAAGGTCTCTAGTTCGATTCTGGAAGGTGAGATGTCTCTCATTTTTTGGCTTTTGCGGTGTTGTGTTGTGTTGACGATGCCTTCACCAAGAGGTTTGTGGGTGGGTCGTGGTATGTGCGGGGTTCACTTTTGCTTTTGCTTCCTTCCCTCAGCGACACTGTTCCCCAACTCGACTCGCTTCCGAGTCAATGCCAATTGGCCTTGTTTCACTGCCCCTCCATGGCGGCATGACGGCATAGCTTGCGCTCCCTTGCAGCGCATATCAATGCAGGGAGACGTCTCACCGCTTAGGTGCCAGAGCACGATGACGGACTACTATGCCGGTAGGCGTGAGGATACGGTGGATGTACATAGTACGTAGGTAGGCGTGGTAGGCAGGCTTGAATAACCCTTGGCTGGACAACGAGCAATCTAGCCAGCCCGCAGCCAGCAATGTAAGTGTTGTATTTTGCGCTTTGAAAAATTCTTTTAGTCCAGAACGAGCGTTGAGCTCCCTTCTCATGAAATCTACCCCCCCAATAATCGCCAATGCTTGACCCAGTGTTAAACATGGTCTTTCCAATTCGTGATGCATGCCCGTGTAAACCAAACGCCAAGAATATGTAGAACAAAATATCAGACGGGATCATTGCCGCTCGGAAGATGTTCCTTTCGAGGAATGTCTCAGAGTGCCTCTGCGCAGCATGCCCGTCTATGTCTTCAACCCCACCAAACTGAGGAACTCGTTCCGGGTCTTCTCCTTCTTCTCGAAGGCACCGAGCACGCAGCTAGTTATCGTGCTAGCCGTCGTCTTCTGCACGCCGCGCATGACCATGCACAAGTGACTGGACTCCATCACAACGGCGACGCCCTGGGGCTTCAAAATCTCCATGATGGCGTAGGCAACCTCCTTCGTCAGGCGCTCCTGGATCTGGAAACGTCTGCTGAACATTTCGGCAATACGGGGCAGCTTCGACAGGCCAATGACCTGGTTCTTGGGAATGTAGGCAATATGCATCTGCAGACACTTGTAAGCCGGGGGTCGCAATTGTCAATGGGCGAATATCGGGGTCTACAAACCTTGCCGGTAAACGGAACGAGGTGGTGCTCGCACATGCTAAAGATCTCAATGTCCTTGACAATGACCATCTCGTTGTGGCCTTCTTGGAAGATGGCATTGTTGACAATGTCCTTGACGTTCTGCTGGTAGCCGCGGGTCAGGAAGAGCATGGCCTCGGCGTAGCGTCTCGGGGTGTCGAGGATGCCGGGGCGGTCGGGGTCTTCGCCGACGCATTCGAGGATGGTGCGGACGGCGCCCTTCATCTTTTCGAGACGAACGGCAGCCTGCTCGGGGGACTCGTCGAGACGTTCACGGGTTCCGAGGCCTGAAAAGACATTGCGCATTAGTCAATTGGGGTTGCGCGGGGTCGGGAATGGCGTGACTCTTACTCGGGCGACTCAGGCCGTCAAAGTCGATCACCGGGCTCGGTGACCTCGTTACGACGCCCTCGGATTTGGGCTTGGACGACTTCTTCTTGGACTTGGATGTGGTGGTATCACGGGGATCGCGCGCAGGCTGGCTCAGGCTTGGGCGGCGCTGCTTCTTGGAGTGGTTGCCGTTGACTTTGGCATCGTCGTCGCCCTTGCGCTTCCTGCTGCTTCGCTTGCTTGACTGGCTCGCGGTCTCGGCTTCACTCCCGTCGCTTGAAGCGCTGTGGTGGCCATTCTGGTGCCTGCTCCGGCTTCTCTTCCTTTCTTTGACGGCTGCGCCCTCTGATTGGGTCATTGTGATATCTGGATCCGAGGAGAGGAGAGGGAATTGGTTGTCAAGGTCGGTGGTTGTGGTTATGAAGGTGGGAGAATGGGAACATTTGGGTGCTCCAAATGAACAAAAGTCCGTACCCAGGCGGCCCCCGCTGCGCTCATTCGAGACTCTGGAGGGAAATCGGAGCAGAAAATTCGGTTACGGCCGGCGTTATCTTATCGGGTGGTTTAGCGCGATTTCAGAGGTACCTCCCCCAGGATTCAGGATTGCAACGTGCTGCAGCAGTGCATTTCTGCCAGTCACCGGTGCAGCGGCCAGCCACGTTCAGCGCTCGCTGCAGTGTAAGCTTGGTACTGCGAAAAATGGCTAGTTACCTCAGGTATCCACTTCTCCGATTCCCGTCTGACGCAAGGGTCCATTCCGGGTGGTACGTGCCTTCAGTGGAACCTCGCTCAAACATCCGCCCGTTTGTTTCTAGCCTGCCGTGCACGATCTACCTTAGGTACCTCAGTGTAGCTCAAACCTTGACACTGCCAAGGGCTGGCCACGGTCATGTGACAGCTGGCCGGGGAAACTCAGGAAACACTCGACCTTAGTCATCCGGGATCCCGTGCTCCACTCTTTCCAGATCCATCGACCGCAGCGCGCCTTTACACTCCAGACTTTAAGCTGGACATGATATTCGACGACCTTGCCGACTTCCACCAAATTTGAACCCAAGCAAACGTAACGACTCCCCTACCGACACCTCCCTCGACTACACCCTATTCTCGACTCTTCCGAAAGGTGCCTTCCCTCGCTCCGATATAGCAACTGCGCTTGCCGGCGCTCACCACTTATCTTGCGATCCACCTAGAAAGAAGCCTTCGCGATGGCTTCCCCTCCATACTCGTACTCTCCAACCGCACACTCACCACCGTATCCGTCACCCGCGCAGCTCCCCATGTCGAACAAGAAGCGAGCATCAGATGGCGCCCCTCCCGGGTCTGCCAAGCGCCGAAAGGCCTCGACACTCTCCGTCACCTCCGCAGCCGCCCACCCCCTTCGTCAGACTTCTTTCCCACCCGAAGCCGGCTCACCATTCCCACGTTCACCCTCGGCCGACAACGCTAGCGTCGTCAGCGGCAGCCAAGTCAGTGCGCCTCCTAAGAAGAAGCGCGGCAGGAAGCCCAAGAACCAGACCAACGTTGAGACCAGAGAACAAACGCCCTCTCTTGTAGGCGGACGCGCACCTACAACTGTCAGCGGCGCAGGCGCTGGAGGCGACGCACAGGAGGAAGGCGCCAATGATGATGAAGACGATAACGATATGCGCATGGCGCTGGTGGATTCTACAGTCAGGACGCAGGAGCAGAAGCAAGAGGAGATAAGACTCCGTGCCATGCTCGTGGAGTCCTTTGACCCAGAACAGTATGATCGCTACGAACTCTGGCGTGCGGCCAAACTCACAGAGTCCGTAGTCAAGAGGGTAAGATTCCTCGACCCGGTTGCCGGCTGGCGCTATGCCATTGTACTGACGAAAATACCACATAGGTCGTCAATGCGACAGTATCGCAATCCGTCCCACCGAACGTCGCTCTCGCCGTCAAGTCAGTATCGAAGCTTTTCATCGGCGAGCTCATCGAGAGAGCTCGAGATGTGCAAGGAGAATGGATCAAAGGTACTGGCGAAAAGCAGGCAGACGTACCCACGCCGCCGCCCAAAGACGACGCGACGCAGACAGAAGACAGAAGAGGCCCCTTGCGACCAGACCATCTCCGCGAGGCATGGCGACGTTACAAGCTATCGGGAGATGGAGGCTGGGTGGGAATTCAAGGCTTGTGGCATGAGCAGCAGAGCAGCGGCGTGGAGAGATTCCCTGTGCGAACTGGTGGACGACGAGTTTTCCGGTAATGCCATGGCAGAGAGTCCATTTGTGACATGACGGGATGGCGGGGGCGCGGAAGGCAACGGAGAAGCTTGGGAGCCCACTTACATGATACCCAGTCTAACAAACAGTTAGCTCATCGATGGCTCAGCGCTGTCATAATGAATACAGTCTTCAATATGAGAATCATGATTAAAGTATCATGGACTGGTGCAAATTCACAAAATAGTACATTTCCAAGTAAGTAAGATGTACGCTCCCTATCCAGCAGCAACTGAGGAATCCTCACAAAGCATCATTCCCAAGGCAGCCTAAATTATCTAGACTGGACTTCCACACCCAAAGCTCGTAGCCTGGGATTTGCCATTGAACGCCGCAATCAACCCTTCAATCGACGAGTACATGCCCAACGCCGTCGTGACAAGCCCTCCCAGCATGTAGACGATGTTCCAAACATTGAAGAGAGGTCTCTTCATGAACCCCCGCCGGTATCGCTGAAATCCACTGTCGACATACGCATACCTACCAGTGGTTGGGTCAAACGTTTCCTGTTCCGGCACCATTGCATCCTTCCGAATCCAATACCCAAGGCCCAGCAGCGCCGGCAGAGTGTATGTGAAGCTCAGGATGAACAGCGCCCCGATGAACCCAGATACCAGCGAGAATTGCGGCACAGCGGCGCCGATGATGAAGGCGAGAGCCCAGTACACGGGTATCACCGCCGCCCACAGCATCTTGCCCGCAGACTCGGTCAACGGCGGCGCCCCAAAGATCTCCTGCAGCAGCTCAACGTAAAGAACCTTCATGCCGATATTCCCATACAACCCGGCCGCGATCAAACCCGTCACCAGGCCCAGAATGTTGGTCGCCGTCTGCCACCAGTACGGCGATAGACTCTGCATGGCGGGGTTGAAGGCGTACTGGCCCTGGAAGGAGTACACGTACAACCCGAAGACAAGGTAGCACACGTAAATAAAGACCTCACCGCAGAGAAGGGCCTTCCAAAAGTCCATGGGGTGCCGCATCTCCGCCATGAAGGCCGCGAAGATGAGACAGCCGCCGTACGAGTAGACGGCTTGGTTGAGCCCGTTCATGGAGCCCAGGAAGCCGGAACCGCCCGAAGCCATGCCGGGCGGGGGCGTGCCGGCGTAGGTGATGACGGGTCCGGGTCCGAAGGTGTCGCCGAAGGAGGCCTGGGTCGCGGCGAAGTTGGGAGGGGAGTGTGCCACGACGCCCATGCTGGTTGTCTTTGGTCAACATCAACCCGAACCGAAGACCATTCCAAGACTTACCAGATGAAAATGATGAGTAGATTCACCCACACGGCCAAGTTTGCAATCCACGAAAACCGCTGCAGCGTCCGAATCTGGCCCAAGATGAACCCGGCCGCCATGAAGATGACAAGACAGGCTACGAAGCAGATTCCCGCATTGCCGTTGGGGCCCTTGCTGATCTGCGAGATGGACTGCCCGTTCGCGAGGATCAGGACGGCCACAAACAACATTAGCTGGAGGCCTTGGGCCAGGTTGATGGCGTGTCTTGCCTTGGCGCCAAAGACGCGGAAGTAGAGGTCACCGTAGCCTTTGAGGGGGTATCTGTCCGAGTCGAGGCCGAGGAAAGCTTTGTAGAGGATCCAGCCGGAGCTTTAATTGGTCAGTCACTTGTTGTCCAAGAGGGCGGTCTTTGGGAGACTTACTACAACGACATGACGCCGAAGACAGTGTAGAGCGCGATACCAGGGCCGTAACCCATCTGAGCAAAGGCCCATCTGGTTTCTCGTGTTAGTTACGCTTCAGTCAAGGTCTGAGAGTAGGTGAACCTACGGCGTAGAAAATGGCCCAAGGATATCCGTGGTGATGAGGTAGAACACGGCGCCCCAGCCAGCAGTCCTCACCGCCCTACTCGCTGTCTTCCACTCCTCGAGCGTAACGACACCGCCGTCCCTGCTCTCCGCAGATTGCAAAGCCTTATCGCTTCCAATCCCGTTCTGCTTCTCTCCAACACCAGCACCGACATCCTCATTTCCACTGCCCTCGCTGCCCCCCTGGAACCTTACATGCTCATCACCCTTCCTGAACCGATCTTTCACAACACTCTTGAGCGTCAAGGGTCCTCGAGAGTGTAGATACCGCTCGTTTGCCAGCTTCTCCTCGGCACGCGTGACTTCGGCCCAGTAGAGGTACTCTTCAAACGTCACGTTGGGGTCGTGCAGGATCACCGCCGGCGGCTCCATGGTGTAAAAGGTTTGTCCATCTTGGCGGGATGGGGTTTGGTCGAGGAGGGGCTGTGGTTTGTTTTGAGCTTTCTGGATGTCGTCTGTGGGCGCGGGTGCAGTGTGATGGGCAGACATTGTTTGTGTGGTTTATCGTGTTTCAGGGTTGGGACGACTTCAGGCGCGATGAGGGTCAAGGAGGCACTGATGTCGGGGAAGGAGATGTTTGATAGACCACACATTATCAAGGCTCATTAGTTCAAGTTGAAGATGGGGAGTGGGTTTCTTATGAGTTCAATCGATCGTAACGTAGCAGTTCTGATATCGGCCAGTCCAACTATCGCCGCCGATACCACAGTCGCGTAGGTAGGGAGAGTGACATTTCATGGTATCACTTCAACTCAGCCAGAGGTCAGATACCCTGAACCCCCTCGATATGCCTCATGTCTCTGTCAATCTTCCGGAATAGATTGGAGCCGTTCAAGGATAACCCCCCCCTCCCCCTCTCGCCATCCTATCTCCTCCCGAGCTAAGCTTTCTCAACCCCCCGGGCCTGCTGTAACCCTGATAAGGAAAAGTCGTTGCAACCCTCCTTGGCGCGAATTGACGACAGACGGGCAGTCGGCAAAGGTGATTTGATGACTACAGTGCCAGGGGACTGTTGGTTGTCAATTTATCCCGCGTGACTATCACAATCATCTGGTCATTGACTTTTTTCTCAGCCCCCTTCTCGAAGCCTGAAGGTGTCAGTTGTGGGGTGACTCGGCTCAACTGATCCGTCTTCTAATCTACGATGGGATCAAGACTTATCAAAGATGTGAAGAGTTCTAGCGACTGCTGGAGAATTGTCACGATTGTGATGAGCTGAGGGGGTGGGTATTCGGCAGTTGTCGACATCAATGACGTTCTCGATGGCAGGTATATGAGAACACGCAGATTGGTTGCGTTGTTATGCAGCCAAGTCTCATGGGTCCTACGAGCTCATATCTTTCATTGGAAACACTTCCACCTCATCATGGTCCCAATTGATATATGAGTGCGATGGGTGGATAATTTTCAAAGGGCATCTATCTCCACGGTCTACAAATCCAACGTCGAGGTAGGTCGCTTAGAAGCTCGCCGATAACGACGGGCCGATGATTCTACCAATCGATGTCGTATGCATCATCGACTTTGACTATACAATTATTATTGAATTCCTTGACGGATGCACACACGTGCCCAATTATCATCCATGCTTTGTACTCTACCAATGTCGGAAGGGGTGGTCTCAGGACCTCCTTTGCCAATACAAGCCGAGGGGTGCCCTTCATGGTTGACCACATCAAAGACATAAACACATCATCGCATAGATCTTATTACTTCCTGTTATCATTCATGGCTAGTATGATTGAGGATGTTTCTCATCTTCCTTGACATTATGATTCAAACTTCATTTCTGCTATGTGGACGGATGTCTCGATGATGATGCGTCAGCCTTGTCTTTATACAGATTGTACATGGTGAACCCCTCCAGTCGTCATGCCATAAGGTTACGGCATTAATCATCTTCCTTCTTGATCTCCTCTTTGATTTGCGTTGATTTTGCTTTCTTGACCTCCCGCTTCTTGGGCCTCAACCATTCCTCCATACCCTCAGGCCAATACACCCTATGTTGCGGTCCACCCATGCCGAAATCCTCAGGGGCTATGGCTTTCTCTTCTACAGGAACGGATTCAGGTTCCTCTGGTTCCTCGTCTTCGTCGTCGTCATCCTTCTTCTTCTTGGATTTCTTAGGCTTCTTTTTGCCATCCTTCTTAGCGACCGCCTTGTTCGGTCGGATTTCATCCAGTCGCTCGTGTGGCACCACGTTGTTGGATAAGTCCCATCCCGGAAGCCTGAATGTTCGCATGAGTTCAAAGACAGCCTGCTCCTTATCTTTGGCCTCGATCATGAGATCTGCGTCAGGAGGGCACGGTGGAAGAGTGCGCACTCGCGGAGAGTGTTTTCTTCGGTCCCGGGGTGTGGTAGCGCTCGGACAGGATTCGCTATAGTGCATCTTTTGCTTGATGTTCTTGCGCGTCCATGTAGCACTGATCCTATCGTAGATCTTCGTAATATCCTCGGTACCCTCACGCAATTGGCTTGCGTCGAAAATGATGTTGTGGTGATGGAAGTCCAGAACCATTGGGATGTTCAACTCCTCGCAGATAGGTAGTAGGTCATGGACAGACCAGGCAACATCGTCGTTCTCGAGGACAAGTCGGTTCTTGATAGACTGTGACAGCTTAGCATAGTTGGCACGGAATCGATCCAGCGTAGATGCTTTGTCGCCGTAAGTGCCACCCATATGCAATATCATGATGGCGTCCCTATTTTGCTGCTCCGGGAGACGGAGAAGGCCGAGCAACTCATCGTGATATTCAAGATCGCGAATTGCGGCTGTGATGACTTCTTTGCGTGGTGAGCCGAGCTGAGTAAACTGGCCGGGGTGCGTCGTCAGTCTGTGGCCTAGTTGTGCAGCGACTTTCCCGGCTTCTGCAAGAGGCTCCGCAGCGAACGGGGTGAGGCGGTAGCCGTATTCTTCATGGCTAGCAAACGGAAACATTTCTGAGCTGAGTCGCATGAACTTGATGCCGTACTTGTCGTTCCAGCGAAGCATTTTCACAATATCCCGAGCATTGGCCAAGCCCAGTTCCTCAACATACTTCTGACCGCGTTTGATATCGGCGGGCTGGTTTTCGTCGGGGCGATTCTTAGTAGGGTGTTCAGGCTGAGATGGATCAGCAAGCGGGTGACGATGTTGTAATATGGAGGCTATGCGGCAAGTTCTTG